CATATACATAATCTGAATTCGAATGGACTCCACAAAGCACGCCCCACAGGTATTCGGAACATCTCCCAAATGCAGGGGCAGATGTGCATGTGGGGCGCACTTTGTGGGAGCCCATCCAAACTCACACAATCTGATATAACGGGCATTACAAATGAATGAACTCAAATTTGCCCAACCAAAAATGATTTTGGTATCGTAAACATATAAAGTCAAAACACCTACATGTCTAGACACAAACACAAAACCACAACCCCAAACAACCCCTCCCCCCCACACACCCACCCACTAAGAGATTTTAGTCTATTGCTTTCTATTCAATGAAGTTTTAGTATATGTTTGGTTCCGTTTATGTTTATTGATGGTGTCACACAGGCGCCCCATCAGCAAGTGCTTCATTAATTGCATTTGTATGTACCGAAGTCTGTAAAAGCAAACTTCAATTTCTATGCGCCTCTCTCATTTTGGAGCTTCTTGAAACAGGTAGGAGTTTATTGGCATTTTTGTAATGCAGTGCCTAATGGCGCCTATGTCTCATAAACACCTTCACTAAATGCTTCTCGGTTTTGCAGTCACACAAGTACAAAACGTTTATTGAATAGACGTAAACGGAACCAAACACCCTGTTACTATTCTTAATTGGCACTAATTATTTTTCCCACAAACATTTTCACCAATACCAAGTCCCTTCAATCTCATCTTTGCAATTGTTATTATGTGTTTGAATTTGTGGGCGTTTATTCACTAAATATTTATACTTTATTTGTTTGCAAAATCAAATAAAGCAATAATGAACTCATTTATTGACAGTTAAGTGCCATTATGCACCACATCAGCAAAACAATAAATAAATGTCTACCTGTTGGGGAAGCACTAAAATGAAACTTCCCCTAACGATAGGCGTGCACATAAATCAATGCCTTCTTTTGCAAGTCTCTATGTGTACGGATCCATATAATGGGAAAATGCTGAAGTAGCACCCATGTGACAGCGTTTATTCAATAAATGCCCACGATTCCAAATGCCGCCATTATCATGACCATTGTCAAGTTCTGAATTTCATCTATTGGTTCCCTTGAAGTTTGATTTCTTACTTTCTTTCCATTAAATTGTTTATTTATAAATATTTTGGTAATTGATACTAAGACAAACATAGAAAAGAACTCTACACCAAGTACATTAAAAACAATCAATTCAATTCAATAATCTCGACCTTTACATATATTACCCAAGAGTAAAAAAATGCATCTCAGTCGGGCCTTGTTTGATTTACAGGAAGCAAGGCGGGTAAGTTGGTGGGTTCCACAAAAAAAAAAAAAAAAAAAAAAAGAATAAACCCAGGTTGGTATTTTGGTATTAGTGTGCCCCACAAAAAATGATCCCCAAACGGCTCATGAGTAAATTTCTCGCTCATCTATGCCAATAATTGCTAATATGTGATGAGATAATGTTGTCCCTTCAATAATGTCATTATTTTGAATAAAATAATTATTGTACAACTTTATCTCAAGAATAAAGGAACAATGGTAAATGCACTTATCATAAGTGTTTTAACCTTACCAAGATGGAATTAAGGCCTTAATACATTTTCAGTAGGGTTTGTTTAGGGAATTTTAGGTCAAACTAGGTTAGGGTTGACTACATTGAATTCAAGGTTGGGTTATGTTCCTTCATAAAAAAAAGGTTGGGTTCTATTAGGGGTTAGATTAAGGTTAAGGTCAAGTTTGGAAGTGCTTATTTGGGTTGGGACCACACCAATAAGCGCTTACTAGTGTTTGAAAATAAACCCGAAATGAGTGATTATTTTAAAAATAAGGGCTTTTTGAAGAAACCCAAAACTCCATCTTTTTTTTTTCAAATATTTGATTTCAATATACTCCCTGGTTTGATTTCAAAATGCCACTTATGCCATTTGGTCGACCAAAAACATAGGGCTTGACTCATCAATAGTTTCTTCTCCAACCAGCGACGAAATTGCAACTCAACCGATCAACCATAAGTATCATCTTTTTTCTTTTCTTTTCTTTTTTTTTTGTTTTTTTCATCCTCAAACGATTAACCAGGTAAAGAGTTTTCTTTTTATTTTTATTTTTCATTTTGTTATTCAAACCATCTCTAATTTTGATAGTTTCTTCTCAATTGTCTTCTCCAAAGACCAGCGATGGAATTGCAGGTTAAACCGATCAGCCATGTAAGGTATTCCTATGTTTTTGCTTTATTTTTTTTCGTTTTCTCATCCTCCTCTGATCAACCAGGTAAAGTTCTTTTTTTTTTGTTTGTTTTGTTATTCAAATTAGACCTAATAAGATGTTTTTTCTCTGTGGTTGGGGTTTTCCAAGCTTGAAGTTGGATTTGCATCTAGGTAGGTGAAATCTTCTCTAAATGAGGGTTAAAGTTGTCTTTTTAAATAAAAACATCTATCTATATACTTAAAAGCATTGGGAGGTTGACATTTACATGTTTTTTGTTCTCCAAATTATTGACACGTGTTTATCTCTCCCTTCTCTTATTTATTATATATTTTCTCACACCTCTCTTTGTTTGAAAAATTACAAGAATGCCACATATAAGACAAACCTCCCTCTTTAATTGCCTCTATAATATTCAAAAATTACAGCAATACCACATATAAGACAAATCTCCTTATATAATTGACTCAATGGCATTAAAAAATTACAGTAGTGGCACATACAATTATTTACAATTATGACATCTTATAAATAAAATGCCATTCCTCTTCTTTCTTAATTATCTCTCTCTCTTTCTCTCTCCTATTCTCTATCTCAACTTTTATTTATTTATTTATTGTATTATTATTATTATTATCATCTAAACATTTATTTATTTAATAAAATTAAATAAATTATTTATTTTAATAAAATAAATTGGTAAAATAAAAGGGATGTGACATTAAGAGATAGATTTAATAAACATTTATTTATTTATTTTACTAAAGTATTTATTTATTTATTTATAAATAATTTACTAACAAATTATTCTCTCCCCTTGAGCCCAATATTTAGTGTTGTCAATGGATCGGGTCTGGTTCGAGATAGCCTATACCAGTCCCATCATGATAGACTTTTATTTATTTATTTAAGAAAAACTAGGTTGAACCAATAGGTTGGGTCTATCCTAATGGAGCTAAATTGACTGAACATAATTATAACGGTTTTGGTTCCATGATTTTGTCTTGATTAATTATTGGATTGATTATCATTCTTATTTGTCCATAATTGATTAAAGTTCGAAACCAAACATTTTATGAAATATATAATTTTTTATCTTTCTTGTATTTTTTATCATGTTTCATGTTTGAAATAGTAAATTTGATAAATAATAAATAAGACAATATTAATTAAAAATGTTTAACTTATTACCATAAAAATAAATTGGTATTATTTTGACTATTGTTTTCAATATAATGAGGTATATGATTTGATCCAATTAAATAACCAGTTCAAGACTAGTTCTACGTGGTTGTTTATTATTCATAATAATATAGTTATAGTTATTTTATTTTTAAAAATATAACCTAATTTATTATTATATCTCCAAATATGCTTAAGAAAATGGTATCTCCAAATGGCATTTTTAAATTTTGCCTCTAAGAAGCAGGGGCTTCCTTGCTAGTGTTTATTGGAGGAATAGACCACCAAACACCTATTATAAATTAAATGCCTATTTTTTAATAAGAAATCATGAGTGCCAAATACAAATAACAAGGTTTAAAATTTCGATACGATACGCCCGATACGAGGCATATCATATCGTATATTTGAAAAATAGATACGGGATGTGCATGGAAATCGGACGTTTTGTCTTTTTTTATGCGTATCGGACCCATATCAGGGGCGTATCGGTAGCATATCGATGAAAAAAATATGACAAAAAATAAAAAAAATAAAGGGGGAAAGCAAGCTTATTTTTCTCGAAATACGCCTTCTTTTACCCCCAAATAACTCTAAAACTCCAAACTTCATTCCTAGATTGCAAAAGTTTGCAAAAAACAAGTGTGAATTGTTAGTTTTTTTTAAGGATTTTTCAAAAATTGAAAAAATATGGCAAAAATAGGTAAATTTTTTCAATTTTTTATAATATCTTGTGATTTTTTTTTTCTTGAATGTTTAAATTTATGTTGATCTGCATTTCTTACACTCAAAAACACATTTTCTTTTGTGTTATCAATAGATTTATGAAAATTTCATGAAGATATTTGGGGAAAATATAAATTAACAAAAAATTTGAAAATGTAATTTTTCTCTGCCTATAAAGACTAAATATGTTTTATATCTATGGATTTATCTATCATATCCATAGAGAAATTGAAATTTCTTCTTTAATAATTATTTTTTTATTTTTATACTTTTAGAATTAAAATATAAATACATAATTAATTATATTTTATCATTTGATCACAATGATTGAATATATTATAATTCTATGGAGGATCTATCATATCCACAAAGCAATTGAAATTTCTTCTTTAATAACTATTTTTTGAATATATTATATAATGTTTATTTATTTTTTATAATATTTGGAAATGAATAATAAATAATAATTAATTATATTTTTACATATAAGTTGTGCCAATGCATGTTTTATGGTTGGATAGGAGAGTTGGGTTTTTCTCATCCCATAAAACATTAAAATTTAAGAATTATAATTATAAATTATAGTTAAGCATAGGATTTTTAATGAAATTATAATTAGCTACAATATATTTTTTTTTATAAAATATTAAAATATATTAATTTAATGTATATACACCTCTTTAATGTCTTATATTTAGTGTTGTTAATATATTTTTATGATTTGTTAAAATATTTATAATATTTCCAAGCTTATTTATGCGTATCTTAATTTTTATTCGATCCCATACTTTGAACTTTGAAAGAATTGCTTATTTTTAATTATTTATTAAATAACACTTATTTTTAAAATAATCACTCCCAAACGCATCCCAAATTCACAACTCACTGCAGCATTTTGTAACCTTTCGATCACGAAGCCGCGCGCCCGCGCCGCGCACCTTCGTACTATGTTGACATGGAAGCGACATCTTGGAATGGTCTTACTTCGTGAACACGCATTAAGGCACAGACTACTTAACCTGTTTTGGTTATACGGAGGGGAAAAAGAAAAAGGAGAAAATCATTCGTCGGGAAACTATTGATTAAAAGTTGCCAGGAAACCGTTAATTCTCACCGGATACGATGAAGCGCCTCGACAGACCGATCAATATCAACGCCATGACTCGGAAGGTTGACGTCGACCAACGGCTTTCCCTTCGTTATTACTATAGGATCGCAGACAATCTTCTCAAACAGGTTCGCTTGTCTGCAGTTTGTAGTTGAGAACTTCCCCCTTTTCTTATCTCTATTGCAATTGATTCCTTTCTAGTTTCGCTTGGTTTCTGTAATGTTAGTAAGGAACTTATCGAGCTAAACTTAATATCTATATGTCAACCGTTTGAGTAATTTCTTGTTAACAATCTCTTAAGCGAGTAGAATCAAATATCGGTGACTAAATTAAGGCAATGGGTATTAAGAACATTCATCTACTTCTTGAATATGTTTACTATGAAGGTTGCTACATTTTCATTAGCGATTCCTTGGTAATTGCTACATTTTAGGTACCCCGGAAATAAGTAATTATTGTTCGTGCTTCGTGCACTGTAGCCCGATTTTATTTTTCTCTACTTTTCTATGTTTTAATTGTTTTTTTTTTTTGAGGACTGAACCTTGAAAATGTCGATGTATAACCATATAACTAAGTGGGCATCTATTAAGGTTTAAAATTTAAACAAATTTCACAAGAGAAGTTATTGCCAGGGCAGCATGTTAACAGTACAAAGATACTGCTGTTTAACGAAACATTGATTTCTTGGTTCAGAAGTTTTGATGATAATTCTCCATATGCTAGGTAAAGTACCTTATGAAATCCAATTGAAGAATTGTCAGATTTACCCACATGGCAAAGGCATGTAGTTGTGTACTTTAAAGCCCACATACCCGGAGCTATTACGGTATTACCCATCTATAAGATTTAACAGTCCCAATGGTTTTGCCTGGAAGCTGTGGGAGAGAGACCTTGATGCATTTACACCATTGACCTTAAACATTTCAATTCAAATATTCAATCATGGACTATGTTGCTGGTGTAATCCATGTAGGGAGTTCTTTCATCAGAACAGCCATGTGGAAGTAAAGATGCATAGAGAGATAATTTATAACATACAAGGAAAACTGGAAATATCTTTGCATTGGTTGCTTATTGAGATGGTGGGGCCTTATATAGTTATCATGGATTTTGATATAGGTTGGAATTAGGGGTCCCCCCTCTTCCATCTTGGGCTGATAAGCATGAGAACACAGATTCAAGTCTGCGAGTGGCCACTTTGTGCAAAAACATGCCAATGGTTGGGTCTGTATCTAGTCCATCTCTCCCAAGATCCTATATGATTGGGACCAACATTGGGCAATTAGGCAATAGTCTTTAGTGAAAACCTAGAATAGTATGGTACATATGTAGCATGATAGGACTTCTATAATTTTCTGGGCATTGTTTCTTTTGTTAGAGTTAAGAAAATGTAAATTTTAAGAGGCCAAATAATTTCTCTTAGACATTATTATTTTTTTTCTAGCTGTTTTTTGGTATAGAAATCTAATGATGATTTTTTTCTTCAGAATTTAAAATTTCAGAATAGCTGTTAAAAAGTTATAAGTTCTTATTTCAGCAACACAAACAATGATACTGATGGAAGTTGAACTCATTCTTCAATTAGAGGATGGAAGTTACGCGAAAGCAATTTTTGTGTCTTCATCAAGGCACCAAGGCAAAGATAGGTGACAGGGACTGTCTTGCTGGCTATGTGCCTAGGCATTGCTTGGGCAACGAATTTTTTTCTTTCATTTCTTTTTGAAAAAACCCTAAATCCTAGGGTAATTCACTGGGTTTAATGGCAACCAACAAATCATCCTTCACTAATAATTAGTAATAGTCTTCATCAAATAAGAAATTAGTACAAACTTCATGTAAAAAAATATAAAATCAATATATTCATGAGAAGAAGAAAGAGAAAAATGCAGAGAATATAGGGGGTGGGACCCTTGCTTTTGTCCCAGGAAAAGAAGAAAATAAAGGGCTGATGCCCCTATTTTGTCCCAGAAAAAGAAGAAAACAATAAAAAAAAAGTGTACGAGTCATAAAGGTATTATTACTCACAAAATGAATAATCTAGTGTAATAATGTCTATTATGATATTATGAACTCACAAAATAGAAATATAAAAATATTATATGGTGCTTTGTTAAAAACAACTAGATGCCTGGGTAAGGTGGTCCTCCATGGATGCTTAGTCCTCTAGGTATTGGCTTGATAATGTTTATTTAACAGTGGTTGAACTTGGCAAAATAGCTCTGGAACATCTTGATTGGGATTAGCAATTTTCTCCCTCTTATCTTCTCTAACTTTACATGATTTTATCTTGTCGATCTTTGTTATGAATGCTAAAGACTTGTTTTTTGCATTTTCAGGCCAGTATCTATCGGGAGGAAAAGAATATTATAGATTTGTACATTATACTTGTCAGATTTTCAAGGTATGGGATGCATGATGGGAGTGGCCCTTTTATCTTAAATAGAGTACTATGAAGTATGAATTATGAAATTATTCTTCACTTCCCAGCTTGGTGTCTGAAACTATACCATTCCACCGAGATTACCAAGCATTGCTTCCAAAAGAAAAGTCTGTTTACAAGAGGGTGAGTGAAATGTAATTATACTTGCTATTAGCATTACTTTATGTGTTTGTTCAATTATATCCTCAAATGCTTACATTTGGCTCTTCCTTTGTCTTTCTAGAAACTCTTGGGCTATCAGCTTTACTTTATGTGTTTATTGAATAATATTCTGATTTGCTTTGACTTGGCTCTTCCCGTGTCATTCCAGAAACTCTTGGGTATTTTGGAGGAGTTGGAATCTCTGAAGCCTGATTTCAAACGCCAACTTAACGAATTGAACAAAGTTCATACTGTGGCTCAACTTGATGGTCCGGAATGTAACTCATATGGATCAACTGCTTCAATGGAATGGTCCTCCACTAAGAAGCCAGCATCTTTGAACTTTGATACTAAACAGGTTTTTAATGTGTTGCTCTTCTTTGAAGTCCATTCAAATCTCTAGTATGAATGGTTCTATTTATTAAGCTATTTGTTGATATATTAATTTGTTTTGTTTATGCATAATCTCATTCTAATGTAGTATTTTTGTTTTTTCAATTGCGTACTTTGTATACTTTCTGATTTCAGACTTCTGTTCATTCTTTTTCATATAGCTGTACCCAGCTAGCAGGAATTCATCACTGTCTTCATGGAAACTTAACCATGAGCTGGCTCAAATTGCATCATCAAAACCCTTGCAAATTGTTGACAAGCAGTTTCAGAAGCTGTAAGTATATTATTCAATCATAATTTAGAATATATGTTTTATTTGGTTATAACTTAAGACAAGTATAACTAAATCCTGGCTGGTCTCAATTATTATGTTTGTTGAAAATCTAGAATGTTGAGAAAATTGCTGATTGCATAGAGAACAAGTATGTAACATTATGCTTTTAGGTAAGATGTTTTATGATGGACTGTCCTGTATGTAAAATGTGGTGGATCAGTATTGGTAAAAAGAGGTAGTGAAGCTATAATCTTATTTCAATCACATACATTGGTTGTTGGTAGTTGGTACATTGTCAAGCTGTCTTAAGTGAATTTGTACTTTATAAATGTTCAGTCATGAGAATAGGGTTGTCCCCAAACTCTTTTCATGTTATTAATATCCATTTTTTTATTTTATTTGAAAGGTAAAATGATGTATTGTATTACTGAAAAGAGGGCGAGAGTCCCTCAAACTAGGCACAAGATATGGAAGTATACAGGCCTATACACCGATAAAAGTATAATGAGTGTCCTGCTTGTATCCACTATTCAATCATCTACATAATCCACAAAAATCCTTTCCCACTGGTTTATGAACTCCCTTCTACTTATGCCTTTGAATTTCTTCTGTACACTTGTCCATTCTATCAAACACCTTTCAATATTTCTAATTATCCATTCAGGTTCTACTACCACCTGGTTGAAAACCCTACTGTTATGCTCCAGCCAAAAGGTCCAGCTTGTAGCCCCAGGAATCATCTGCCATTACCTCCTTCCTCTTCTGCTGAATGCTTTGGATGGCCAAGCTGCAACCAGAAAAGACAAATCACCTGGCATTACCCAAACTATTTTGAATAGATGCAAGAAATGACACCAGACTTGATACCAGAGCAAAAGGTGAGCAACATCTTCAACTTCAGCCTGGCAGAAGGCACGTTCATTGCCTATAACCGTACCCCTGGATATGAGCTGATGGTACAGCCAAGGTAGAAACAAGAGATTGAAAAAGAGATCTGGTTGAGAAACTCCCCGAGCTTTCTAGGGACCACCACATGCTATCCTGCCTCAAGGGGTCAATTTGGCCCTTTCTGCAGGATCCTTTGCAAGTTGGACGGGTCTTGAGCTTCCCAATCATTTCAAGTTTTGTCTCAAGTGGGGATCCAAAACCACCTGACCACCCAGGAATAATAGTCTCTTATTGAAGCTTCTTTGATTTGCGCCAGCATGTATAAAGAAGGGAATGTTTCCTTAAGAGGCTGAACCTGCAGCCACGGATCTTTCCAAAGGGCAATCTGGTCACCAACACCTGGCTTGAAAATGATATGACTCTGCATATGTGGTTCAACTTAGATATGCCCTTCCATAGGCTGACACCTGGCTTGTGGTTCAACTCCGCATATGTGGTCACCAACGCCTGCTATTGAATCTTTCTATGACTAGGGTCCATAAAATCCTTTGATTTATACTTGGCTCCGAGTGGAAGGTCCGCAACTTTGATGGTAATTTCCTTCTCTGGTAGCCTAGGGTGTTTACCAGTTTATCCGCTTGAGGCTAGGGGTGGATTTGAGTCGATCCGAGCGGAATACTTGGCTATTCGAGCTCGACTCGCTCAAACTGTGTTAGGCTCGAGCTCGAGCTTGAGTGCAAGCCAATTTTTTTTTGAAAAAATAAAAAATATACATATAAAACATTTTTTATTTTACATACAAAAAATTAAGAATTATAAAAATTATTTATTATTATACATATAAAATAAAAACTATACATATGAAAAATGTTTTTATTTTACATACAAAAAATAAGAATTATAAAAATTATTTACTATTATACATAAAAAATAAAAATATTATTTATATAAAATAAAAAATATTTATTATATATATTTATATGTATGTATGTATTTATTATATAATAAAAAATATTTATTTATTATACTAGGCTCGCGAGCCAAGCTTCACTAGGCTCGAGATCGACTCGATTAGCAAATGAGCCTATATATCAGGCTCGAGCTCGGTTTAAACCGAGCCGAGCCGAGCTCGAATGGCTTGTAAGAAGCTCAGCTCGTGGCCACCCCTACTTGAGGCACATTTCCTTTGGGAATGAATTCGCTTTTTTGTAAGTTCATTTTTAGGGTAGTAGTAGCCTCAAGGTAGGTGAATAGGCACCTTAAGAATTACATGTCTTCATGTCTAGCTCTAGTCTCTAGAAAATAAAATTGAATCATTTGCAAGTTGCAATTGAGATATTCAACTACTATAATGAATAGGAATAGGGATAGTGGATCTCCTTGTCATATACCCTTTCCCCCTGCAAAGTAGTCTTTAGGAAGACCATTCACCAATAAAAACATTGCAGTTTCTAGGCAAGATTGAATCCATTTCCTCCATTTTACTCCAAAACCTATTCTGTGAAGCATGTAATCCACAAATTCCCACTAGATATCGTCATAGGCTTTCTCCATATCCACTTTAATTATCACTCTTGACCAGACTTTAATCTTGAGAATGCATTTATTTGCAAAAGTGATTGTATTACTACAATGGAAGGTGAGAGACCCTCAGATGTTTACAAAAGTATATGACTGTAGATATTCAGAGTACATACAAAAAGATGTATAACTAGTATATCAAAAAATGATTAAAGATCGGTTATCTCTAAAATTTGACAGCAGAACCCCTTCAAAAAGATTAGAAGTCCTGGACCATCTCATCAGGGACCATCTGATCTTTTCAATGACTGATTCCACTGGCATAGCCTTCCCTTTGAACACCCAATAATCTCTCTCCATACTACCCAACAAATGGCATGGAGTTGTTCCATAGAGTGTCCCTTTAGCAGAGGAGATGCCAGTCCTCCAAGATGACAATAAGCTTATTGCTGCTGGGTAAAACTACTGTTAAAGCTAGGGTTAGAAGCTTTTTCCAACTCTATACATATGCGAGCGGTGCAAAATAACCTCCCATGGGGTGTTTGTGTGGAAAGGGATAATGGAATTCCAAGAGGAATTTGCATCTCTAATTTTTCTTAGGATGTTGGGCGAGATTTTGGAAAGATGTTTGGTGTGGTGATGTGAAGTTATGTGATGTTTGCCCAAGGCTCTACAAATTGAAAGGTATCACGGACAAGCATATCAAATTGTGTAGTGTCTGGTGTTTAGATGACCTATATTAGATAGAGAGATGGAGGAGTTTCTCTTGCTGCTATCTAAACTGGAAGAGGCAAAAATTGACCCTAGTGAGGAATATGTTAGATGGTGGAAAGAATATGCGGATGGGAAGTTCTTGGTTAAGCCCTGTGCTGTTTTGGCAAGAAATCAGGTGGAAGAGGCAGTTGAATCAGTCATTTGGGGCAACCTGATCCCACCTGGGGTGGAAATCGTTTCTTGGCTGGTTGCTGTTGATAGTATTCTTACTCTGGATTGTCTAAAATCTAGACCTGAAATCTAGAGGATTTTCTAGATTTCACCTGTCAAATATGTGTATCATGTGCAGACAACAAGAGGAAAATGTCTTACACTTATTTATCAGACGCAGCTGGCTAGAATTCATTTGGAATTTCTTCATTGAAATATTCAAAATGCAGAAACACAATCCTTTAAGTACCATGGGCATTTTTCACAATGGCCTAGAATTGGAAGGAGTCGGAAGGCTAAAATTTTAAGGAAAGAAAGAAACAGACACATCTTTGATAAAGGTTCTCAAGGAGACATCAACAGAGGATCTAGCAGAGAGTTTGCCACCATCTTTGGGCATTGTTTAATAAGACGATGTATTACAAGTTTACAACCTTCTTAATTTTCTGTTCCAATTGTACTTTGAATTGGCTATCCTCGGCTGTACTTGGTGAATAGGATATATTCTAAATCCAATTTATATTGCATATTTGCTGCTTAGTATGGGTTATTTGCCCTATGAATGAAAAAGTAACCTTTCTTTCTATACACTGCTAGCATCTTAGGCACTCATTGGATTCATCTAAGTTAATATTCAGAACTCCACCATGACTTACTTTATCTGACCTTTTGCTGTCAATGAAGTTCTTCAGATATGTATAGGTCTCACATGCTCTATGAATTTGGGAATCCTGAATGATGGTCAGTGGTTACTGAAGACTAGAATCTATTAATTAAATAAGATGGTAACTGCACAAGATTGTTACTGGTGAAGTATGGAAAAGAAAAAGAGCCATCTGCAGCATCAATCAGCTATAAATGTTCTGAAAGAAAAAGAACAAAATCTTGCTTCAATAGATTTTACAATCCTTAGTTTGCAGAGGGATTTTCCAGAATTAATACTCAAGCTTTATCTTGTTTCTCAATTGCTCTTTTTGTTGGTAGAGTTAAGTTTCAGATACGTATAATTTGGTAGATATAGAATTTGATGCATATCTTGTCATTTTCCACGTGGGTCTTCTATCTTCCTATTCTTTGTTTGCCTTGTTACATGCTTCCTTTTTTAATTTTATTTGGTCATTGTTCTTGTTTTTGTTCAATGCAGCATATTGTCTTATAATCATGTTTTGAAAAACTTCATGATTTTTCGAAGTAAAACAGGTGGTGCTATTATTAGTTTTAATTTTTGCATTCTGTTTATTTCCAATATATGTGATACTCAATGTAACATCCATTTATTGGTTGGCTATTCAATTTAATATGATTACTTCTGGTGTCCCAATAAATATGCAGGTCTTTCAACCTTCCTCTTCCAAAGGAGGAAACATTGTCCAGACATTCAATTTTAGGTCCAAATGGTCTCAGGGGTCAGTGGCTTGGACCTAGCATGGGGATAAAGGTAAAATTGTTCCAGAAATTTCTGATTGTGCTAGACTATGGCTAACATTGATCACATTTATTTTGATTCAATATTTATGTTGCACAGGTTAATTATCCAAGCAATGCTGAAATAACTCCAGCTGTAAAATCAGGGTTTGTATTTAAACTATTTTTACGGTGTTTGTAGAAGTCCTATTTTTTTTGAACATCTACCTCCCTGTTTATTTTCATGTTTAGTCTATATTTTCTCTGTGACGTTCTAAAGGACTGATCAATCTGCATTTCTAATATGTCATGCTGGTGCTTTTTCTTGCAACACCACCTTTTTTTTTAACATTTTTTATCTTGCACTACCAATGGAAATAGCTTGAATCAAGGTGGACAATATGATCTCGTGGTAAAAGAAAGTGATCCAGGAGCTAGAAGTACAATTGAGGCAGTACTCTCTTTGGATGATGGTAGATGGTTACAGCCCCATGAGGAGCCACATTCTTCATTGAATGATGATATAACAGAAGATCCTTTTCAGTTAAGTAATATCAGGCAACCTTCTCCTCCTCCTGTTCTTGCCCATGTGCAGCAGGACTTCCTTCCAATCCCTCCTTCAAAGGTTGCTGATCCAAGACCTGGACCTGCAAAACCTTTACAGGATGAGAAGGATGGGATATCCAACTCTAATTCTTATCAACACCTACACATTGTAAGTACTCCTTGCTTCTACTCCTTTATTTACATCATGAAAAAAATTTCCCCGTCTTTGTGTTTGTAAACTTCTATTGAGGGTCTTTCTTCCATGTGAATTGCATTTCAGCCAGTAAAAATGATGGAGGATTTTTTGAGATTGGCACAGATAAATACAGCAAAAAACTTGGAAACATGTGGTGTTCTTGCTGGTTCTCTTGTAGGTTCTGTTAAAGTTATCAAAGTTTTGAGGGACCTGAAATTTTGTGTATTCAGTTTCTTATCCTCATTTTCAACTAATTGCAGAAAAACAGGGTTTTCCACATTACAACGCTAATAATTCCAAAACAAGAGTCAACTTCAGATTCGGTAAGAGATTGGTCTGTCTGAAAATTTGTTTTGATGTCCCCATCCTTAGTTTCATGCTGAATCGGCTTTGAACTAATGAACCTAGAAGTGTTTAAATTAAAACTAAGGAAAACTGAGAAAGAGGTTGATGCCATAATCTGCAAAGGTTTTTTAAATATAACCAAGGGAATGGCTTTATGCTCTTAGTTCTCTATGTAAGTAGTGCTTTCCCTTTTCTTGTCAGCTGGCAAGTAACTTCATGGTTTTACTACTGATGCTGCTAAATCAAAGCAACTCCCTCCGGGAGTAGATTTTGGAGACCCACTATTTCCATTTTCACCAGAAGAAAGTAAAAAAGCAACTGGGGGAGGGGGGAGGGGAATATTGTTATAGGACATGTTACTCAGGATCTAGCAATATCTCTATGTGTGCAAAAGCCCCTCAAGTTTGAAATGAAGTTCAGTTTCCACTTCATATCTCTTAGTTCACGAATGGGAACAAACAAAACTTGGTTCCTCTGTTTGACTATAATCTTATTGTTTTGTTTCACAAAAATTTACATAGATTGCTATCTGCTAGTGTGAACCGAATTGAGAGCAAGAAGAAAACAGATTTAGAGGTGTCAAGAATAGTCGACCCCCACCCCAAAGAGTCTCTTTTATATTAAAGAGATGAAGGATATGTGCAGTTACAAGAATGCCCTTATAGGGCTGACAGATAAAAAGAACAAATAAAATAATAAGAATACAATACTGTACAACAAGGACTACTCTAATAGTGTACATCAAGATATATCTTTACACTCTCCCTCAAACTGATGCATAGAATTAGCATCAGTTTGCCCACAAGAATGAGATGTCGACTTTTAGTCATGGCCTTGGTGAAGATGTCGGCAATCTGCATGTGAGAGGCTACATGAGGAAGAGATATAAAGTCTGCAACAAGAAGGTCTCTAATAAAGTGACATTCCACCTTGATACGTTTAGTCCTCTCATGAAAGACTGGATTAGATGCAATCTTGATAGTGTTGGTGTTGTCGGTATACAGAGGGATAGGAGTAGGAAGAGAAATACCAAGATCCATGAAAAGGGACTTCAACCAAACAATCTCACTACATGCAGAAGACATAGCTCTATACTCAGCTTCAGTAGAAGACTTAGAGACAGTTTGCTGTTTCTTGCACTTCCAGGAGATGAGAGAGTCACCCATGAAGACGCACCACCCAGTAGTGGATCAACGAGTGTCAGGGCAACCAACCCAATCGGCATCAGCATAAACCCTCAATTGTATGGATGATGAGGAAGCGAAAAACAGTTCTTGAGAGGTTGTGTCTCTAACATAATGGATGATGCAGTGAACAACAGTCATATGAGGTTGCCGCGGGCAGAGACAAATTGATTGACGACCTGAACAACATGTGAAATATCAGGCCTGGTCATAGTAAGATAGATCAAAGAGCCAACAAGCTGATGGTACAAGGTAGCATCAAGAAGGATGAGGCCTTTGGATTTAGATAGCTTGACATTTAGCTCTAGGGGGGTATCAACACGTTTCTCATCAGTGATTCCAGCTAATTTGACGAGATCAGAGGCGTATTTTTGTTGACAAATAAAATACCCTCGACTGCTACGATGAACCTCCAAACCCAAGAAGTAAGAGGACCCAGGTCCTTCATGTGAAATGAGTTATGAAGTAAGGACTTCAGCTCACAAATGCCATCATGACCATCCCTAGTTAGAAGCATGTCATCAACATACAGTAGGAGGATAGTGATACCCTAGGTTCTTCTCTTAACAAAGAGGGAGTAGTTAGAGGAACTCTGATTATACCCAACTGCAACAACAACATCCCGGAAGCGCTCAAACAAAGCCCTTGGTGCTTGCTTCAGACCATATAGAGACTTCTTTAGGCGATAGACATGTGAAGGATCACTGCAATATCCAGGCAGAGGTTTCATGTAGACTGTCTCCTTTAGTTCTCCATGAAGAAAAGCATTCTTCACATTTAATTGGTAAATAGTCCAGGAATAAACAACAGATATGGCCATAAGAGTCTAAATTGTGGTGATCTTAGCAACTGGGGCAAATGCTTCTTCATAATCAATCCCATATTCCTGACTATATCCTTAGGCAACTAACCTGGCCTTATATCGATCAAGGGAACCATCTGACTTCAGTTTGATCATATGGACCCAACGACTTCCAACAATAGAAGCATCTAGAGGAGCTGGCACAAGATCTCAAGTGTTATTCTCATGGAGGGCTTGAATTTTGGCATCCATGGCTTTTTTCCACTGAGAACTTCTAATGGCTTACTGATAAGATCTGGGGATATCTATGGAAGAAAGTATAGCAGAAAAGGAACTATGGTTTGAAGGAAAACCATAGCAGTCAGGGGGTTGAGAAATATGGGTAGAACGACGAAGTGGAATAATTGAACTACTATTTGAAATAGGAGGATCTTGGGTCAAGGTATCACTTACAGAGGTTATCGGAAATGGATGCTCTGGACCGGGTGGAAGGGGGTTGTAGGCGCAGGAGCCGGGACATGTAGCCGCTTGCGGGTGAAGATGAGAAAATCTCTCTCAGTTGAGGAAGTAGTAGTGTCATCTGAATCAAAGTCCTGCAAAACAGAGATGGAAGGAGCATGCAATCTAGCAACCCTAGCAAAGAAGGAGATATGTTTAAGAAACACAACATTCCGAGAAATCCGAATACGATGAATAACGGGATCATAACACAAAAATCCTTTGTGGTCAGGACTATATCCCACAAAGGCACACATAGCAGACTGAACAATTAATTTAGATCATTCACGAATAGGAAGATGAACAAAACAAAGACAACCAAAAACATGAAGGCTAGAGAAATCTGGGGGATAACTAAAAAGTTTTTGGAAGGGAGAAGTGTTGCCTAGAATAGAGGAGGGAAGAAAATTGATCAAATACATGGCTGTACTGGCTGCTTCTACCCAAAACGAAGTTGGAGTATGAGACTTCTGTAGTAGTGTCCGCACAACACTGAGAATGTGTCCATTCTTCCGTTCAACCACACCATTCTGTTGTGGAGTGTCTGGGCAGCTGCGTTGAGACTGAATTCCATAACTCCTTAAGTATGCCAGGAAGTCTCCATCTCTATATTCTCCCCCTGAATCTGAGCGGAGGATAGTCACATTGCACTTGAATCGGTTTTGCACCATAGTATGAAACAATTTAAATGCACCAAAGACTTCTTATTTGTGCCGTAGAAAATAAATCTAAGTAATCTGGTACAATCATCTATAAATAATCACATTGCACTTGAATCTGAGCGGAGGATAGTTACATTGCACTTGAACCGGTTTTGCACCATAGTATGAAACAATTTAAATGCACCAAAGACTTCTTATTTGTGCTGTAGAAAATAAAGCTAAGTAATCTGGTACAATCATCTATAAATAATACGAAATATCTGTATCCCAATTGTGAAGTAATAGATTAGACCAAACATCACTATGTATTATCTCAAAAGGTTTAGTGGCATGTTTAGATGTATGAAGAAATGGTAAAACATGACTTTTACTCAAACAACACGTAGTGCAAGAAACATCAAAAGTATGAACAGGAGGGATTTTATTCTTAATCAAACTAGAGTCAAACAAAAATTTTAATTTTTGGGAATATGGATGACCCAATCGTTTATGCCACAAATCCCAAACATTATTTCTTTAACTCAACAGAGAATCAGATAAAGAAGAACTAAGTAAAGCTGATGATGCCCCTGATTGAGATTTCTCGAACTCCATGCAAACAGACGGCCCAGCCTACGCCCCTTTCTTTCACCTTCCCAGCGTACCGGCCCTGTATCAAGCAACCATCATGAGAAAATGTGAGAACATTTCCTTCATCAACAAGTTGGCCAACAAAAATCAGATTAGTAGTAAGGTTGGGTACTAAGAGGGTTTTGGAGAGAGGGAAGGATCTGGTTGGTGACAGTTGAAGGGACAGATCATTGCTACCAATGATGTCTAACTTTTCACCATTGGCAGTAATAATATGTTTATGGTGAGTTTCAGTGGAAGGATTTGGGTGATTGAGGTAGGCTCCTGTCATATAGTTGGTGGCACCTGAATCTATAATCCAAGCATGTGAAGGGGAAGAACAATATGCAGAGAATTTACCAGACAAGCCAATAGCAGAGAAAGCAGAGGAAATAGTAGAAGATACCAATTGGCGAACCTTTTCATCATCCATGATACCTGTTGAATCACCTTTCACTGAAGAATCACCCTTGGTGGATACAGTGTCTGTTGCTTGTCCATCTGTTGCCTGATAGGCCTGAGGCTGAGTCTTTTTCTGAGAACCCTTAGCTAGTCGGACTTGACAGTCTGGAATGATGTGACCATGTTGCTTGCAATAGGTACACACATTCTTCTTCTTACAGTGAGATGCAATGTGTCCAAAACCCTTACACTCATAACACTAGGTTTTGGAGAAGTCCTTGGAGGTTGGCTTCTTACCCCCATGAGCAACAAAGGCTGTTTCAGCCCCAACTTCAGCCATCTTCCCATCAAACCCGGCTGCAGTGAGAAGTCTAGTCTCTTCCCTTAGAAGTTCCCCTAAAACAGAATCCATATCTGGAAGTGTTCCCCTACTCAGAATCTTGAACCTGATTATCTCATATTCAGGTCTAAGTCTCATCAAGAACTGAGTCATCTTTCTCTTCTCAAAGTGCTTTTGAATATATTTCACACACTCTATTGGATCTGAGGGTTCAATGTGAACAATCTCATATTCAGCCCATAAATCAAGAAAACCAGAATAATATTCCTGTATCCTCCTATCTCCTTGGCTGTAAGAAAATATTTCTGATTCTATCTGATACTGTTTAGATACGTTGGACTGTTGATAAACTTTTTCCAGATACAAGTACATCTCATAGGCTGTTTTCATTCTCCTCATAGGTACAGATATATGATAATCAATAGAATTTAGAATCCAAGAAGCAAGCTTACCATTATCCAACTTCCATTGTTGTAAAGCTTTGGCCTCGGTCTTAGCTGGTTTAGTGACCGTTCCATTTAGATATCCTTCTAAACCTTTCCCTTCAACATAAAAGTCAAAATGGAACATCCACATCCCATAGTTCAGTCCATTCATCTTCACATGAATGATATCACCTCTGTCTGAAGCCATTATAGCAAGAAAGTAGCACAAAATAGGGTTCGGCTGAAGTTTAAAAGAACTAAACTGAAGTAAAACTTGATAAAAAAACAAGTGAAATAAGCTGTAATCAATCCAAGAGAGTCAAAAACTGAGAAAGAAACCCCTTACTTTCACCGGAGATTGTTCAACATCCAATAGAAAAAGAAAACTGAACACAGTCCAGAAAAGGAAAGTCTGGGCGCAGCCGCCTAGAAGAAAAGTCCAGATCTCTCTCAAAACTTCACAGATCTCCGTAAAAATTTCAGAGTATGTTGAGAAGGGCTAGGCGACAACTCCTTTCAAATCTTGCTGCAAACGGATGTCAAACGAGAGAAATCCAATAAAATCTCTCTCTCTGGATGCGCAGAAAACAGAAAAGTGGTTCCTGGAAAGATCAAAACAGTCCAGGACAAATCAGCAGAGATGTAAGCTCTCAATAGATCAAGAAACAAGGTGGATCAGAGAGAAAGAAGATCAAAGGGCAACCTGCTCTGATATCATGTGAACCGAATTGAGAGCAAGAAGAAAACAGATTTAGGGGTGTCAAGAATAGTCGACCCCCATCCCAAGGAGTCTCTTTTATATTAAAGAGATAAAGGATATGCACAGTTACAAGAATGCCCTTACAGGGCTGAAAGATAAAAAGAACAAATAAAATAATAAGAATACGATACTGTACAACAAGGACTACTCTAATAGTGTACATCAGGATATATCTTCACAGCTAGTAGTGTCCTACTATCAAACTCTTACTGTTTTCAATAAATTGCTATGTTCAGTGTCAGACGATGAACGAAGAAGAAATTTTCGATGTTCAAGACAAGCTCTCCCTTTTCCCTCTTGGATGGATTCATGTAAGTATCAAAATTATCTTTATTACTATTACAGTTGATTCGATTCTTTTTCTGTTTTTCCCCTGATTTTTGCTGTAAGCCTGTATAGATGATTTAGAACCCTTTTTAACACCTGATTCATCTGGTGTTGAGCTTCATCAAAGCGCTTAAATGCACAAACCTAAATGTTATTGCCAAAATAAACCCTGAAAGGAGCCTCAAGTCTAGATCAATAGTACCCTCCTAGCAAATCCATTTTTTTGGCCATTGTGTCCTGTGGATAAAAGCACTTGAGAAAAAAAAATCCCCTACATAACTACAAGAGAACTTTTTTTTTTCCTGAGAAGTTTCTGTTTTCTTTGAGAAGTGAGACTATTCTCTCTTATATTGTCGATTTTCTATCTCATACACTTAATTGCTGATACTCAATCTAACTTGGAGCTTGTAAACCGATTTGCAACATATTAAGGCACACTAACCTCAGGCTCTGTTCTTTGATATCCATACATCTACATTCAGTTTAGGAACTGCATGTTTGATGGTAGCCATATTTCTTCTTAAGATATCTTACACTTTCTTGCATATCCATAAGATGTATATCATATTCATTGGACTCTGCTCTTGATTGAGTTCTTCCTTTGGTTTCCAGACACATCCATCACAGACATGCTTCATGTCATCAGTTGATCTTCACACTCATTACTCATACCAGGTAATAATGGAACTCTAAAAACATTTCTTATGCAATTTAACTACTGATTTCCAGTTTGCTGTTCTTCCCTTTGGGAACCCTGAACTAGTTGGTCTAGTTGTTCTCTGATTAAACTGAATTTTGTTTTTTAACAAATTTTACAGGGCGGGGGGTAGCATCCCTAATTACAAGTAAAAAATGCATATTTTAAAAGACAAAAATAGTACTGTTATGTTTATTAAGTTATACCATAATAAACAGGGCTATCTTTGTGCATTTTCAGTGGTGATGTGCCCAAATCCATTGCCTTTTTCAATTCCCCCGGTTTGATATCTTTATGTTCTGTTCCAGATTAACAGATAGTTATAGTTAGTGGATGATTTTACTTGATTTGTTCTGTAAGAACGGTAAACATTAAGATCCATTGCGCTGATGTGGAAGACACACACACACAAAAAAAAAATTGAAGACATTTGAACTTCACTTTCATTTAGGCCTCTGCATTACTTTGGATTAGCACAGCTGGAGAATTTAGAAGTTAGTCCAAGAGACAGGAATTTGTTTAGGGACTTGGAATCTAGGAACTTTGGGAGATAAAGGTCATGAAGTTAGTAGTCATAATGAAGAAAGAAAAGTCAGTGTAAGGGATCAGATGAAAAGGTAAAAGTGCAAGAAATTGATTGATACAAGCAACTCATGGTTCATGAGAGAGCAATAATATAAATGGGTGGCACATGTGGTACAGATGGTGCAATTATCTGTGGAATTACTCATCAAAAATTGTTCTTTGAATTAGAAAGTGTGGAATAAGAGTGCAAGAGAAATGGGAATTGGAATATGGGTCTGTAACTAACTACTTTACAATTGTCATCCTCAATTATCCACAAGATAATCAAAGCAGTAGAAAAAAGGGGATCTTGCTATTTGCCATGCAGGGAGTTTATTTTAAACTTGCATTTTCAAATGACATAACTTCATTAAATTCTGCCCTTTTGTATTTAATTCCTGTCTCTTCTGATTTCTTGATATTGTAGTCCTTTGTTGAAGGAGTTGTGTTTTCTTTATCAGATAATGTTACCAGAGGCAATTGCAATTGTTATGGCCCCGAAAGATACATCCAGGTATGTTTGAAATTTCAAGTGCCCTTGCATCAAATTTTATTTAGGTAATAATCCTTTGCATTAGAAATTACTAAATTTGTCTGTAATTGTTTATATTCTGCAGCAAGTAAACTGTGCTTTTGCTAAATTGCTCAACTTCTGTATACCATGCGTCTGCTTGATGTTTAGGTTCCATAAATCGCATTTCTAATTCTAGCTTTCTTATGATTGAAATGAAGATGGTTAATCCCACATTAGATGTACACTGATATTGGATTGTAGGTGTGAACTGATGAATAAATTGCAGAATGTTATTTTTTTTTTCTGAAAATACTAAATAGGTGTCCACATGGCTTGCCTACTAAGTCTAAATATTCACTATTCAGATAGGGGTGCAAATTAGGTACCCTATCTGAAGAATTTACTCTTCATTGGACCTTCAGTCTGCTCCCTCAAAAATTTAACAAATTTTAAACCCAGGTTTGTCCAATTTGCATTCCCTAGTTCAGATGATCCCTTCTATCAAAAGAACCCTCTTGCAATTCTCATAAAAAAACGTAAGGTTGGGAGACAACTAGACTCTTGGGCATCTGCCATTGTAACAGAAATTGAGGCTTCATGGATATCTCCTCTTGGGAGAGAAAGGTGGGTGAAGTAGTGGATTCTCTTGTCAAGGGAGACGAAGGTTCCATATAGGGGTGCAACTTGGGTTAGCCTGAGTTAACATTTTACACTGCTTTGGTTTCAGGGTTCAGGCTGGGACTATTCAAGTTTTGACAAAAGCCCAACCCTAGCCCAGCCAAGTTGCACCCCTAGTTCCCAAGAAAGGGGTTGTATAGAAATAACTCAAATGTATCAGAACCCATGTTTTTGCTTTTCTTTAAGCCTTTTCTCATCATCATCTGATATATCCCATTAGGACTGTATCCAGTCCACCCCTCCCAAGACACCAGATAGCTAGGATCAACACTGGGTAATGGCCTTTTTAATGTGGGGCTGGGCAGGAATCCTGTTCTAACATATTCATGGTTGGTAATAGGTTGGCCTAGATGATCTTTTTAGAACCAGTAATAAATCACACCGCTACAGATTGTAATGAGCAGAGAGAGTTCATTAATCATTCATCCTGTAGATGTGGGGTGGAGAGCAAATTGGCTGATGTGCCAAGGACAATAGCTGAAATAGGTGTGGACCAGAAGAGTTCTGACATATGGATGGATAACCCAACACAACCACTATCTCTTACTGAAGTAAGCCCTACCCTTTGATTCCACAATCCGTGGGGGACGTCGATCCCATAGACGTATCCACAACTTCGATAGGCAGTGATTCCTAGGCAATAGCAAGTGAATCGTCGAGTAGGGGGTTCTAGATTTGAGTTGGTTCCACACTATAGGCAGGAAGGCAAGTGGTCTAAAATGGCCTTTGGCATTCATTTTGACCACTTTTCCTCCCTACCCATTGTTTTATTTAGGGTTATCTTAGCTTGATGGATTTCTGATTATTGACAATAAGAGAGCCAATGTAAAATTTGGATATCAATTACTGTAACAAGGCACACATATAACATGTACAGCAACTTGCAAATAATGAAGTTATTTCTTTCCATTGTACTGTTGTGGTTACTCCATTATGGTACAATCTCAGGTTGTAACCAATGTAAATATTGCCCTTACATTCAGACAATCCAGAGGGTCAATTATGAGGCAAAGCCAATCGTTGGAATGGCATGCCAAGCCTAATGAGATTGTAATCAATGTAAGGGTTGCCCATACATTAGGACATTCTGGAGAATCAATTACATGACAATGCCAGTCCTTGAAGTTACACATTGACCCCAATATAATTCTTCCTAGCATGGTAGAATCTTAATGTGGAAATTATGAGCTCAACAGTTGTGACTTACTTGTCAAAGGGTCAACCTTTTGCCCTCATATTTCTTCACAAAGGAATTGTAATTCATAAGTATTACTATTAGTGGGTTTTGCATGTATCTTGGCAGGGAGATACCTATACTATTTACCAATGTTTTAAGTGTGGACATGATGTTAGGTGTTCCACTATCCTGTGGCATGAGGTGTAAACCAGAAAAGCAAGAGGCATAATCCTCCTGGGCATATTTTTTTAATTAATAATTAATTAAAATAAAATATTAAAAAAAAGAAAAATCAGGAAAAATATATAGTTGCAGTTTTAATAATAAATCCATCATATTCAAATACAAATCAATAACTTAGCAAACACAAAAGGACTCAAGCTCAACCACAGGACTCTAAATCAGCATTGTCAACTAGGATAAAAATACCATCATCAGCCTCAATATTTGCATCTGCAACATATGGTTATATCTTCCTACTCATCAGTTTCTTGTCTTTTGAGATTTGAGAATGAGGGAATGGGGATGATCAACCATTCATGCTTTTTCCTGTAATATTTAATGATAACTTGTAATTGGAACATTATAAAATAGTGTACACCATCTTTATATTGCTCTTTTAAAAATTATTACGTTGAAAGGGTGACAACCATGAGGCACATGCCTAAAGTATAAGGTGCAGAAGAAGTGTATGCCATGTACAATGCATACACTTTTCTACATTGTATGCCTCGTGTATTCTTGTCTGAATGCTACACTTCTGGTAGTTTTTTTAATCTTCATGGGATGGTGCACCGATATGCATGTCTCCCACACCTTATAAAAACTGATTCATACAAGCTTTTTGTAACTTGCCTGTCTTGGTTTCAATAAAAAATTTCAGATTTGTTAACAATAAAATATTTAATCCAGATAAATTTTAAACATGTGCTATAATATGTTACTGCAGACAACATGGCATATTTCATCTTTCTGACCCAGGTGGTGTATCTGTGATTCGCAACTGTCAACAACGTGGGTTTCATCCTCATGAGGAGCCTGAGGATGGTAGCCCAATATATGAGCACTGCTCTCATGTTTATATGAACTCCAATTTGAAGTTTGATGTTGTTGATCTTAGGTAAGGTACCATTCATTCAATTTTTGTGCTGTATGTGTATCTATATACATATAAAATGCATTTACATAACACTCATTGAAAAGAAATAAATATCTTGGTGAATTCAACTCATTCTCCAAAGCTGAAACTTGATCCAAAAGTTACGTGTCATGGAACATCTAATAGAACTACAGGTGCTAAAAGGCCGCCTTTGTTGGACTATCCGCCATCTAATTGCCCTTCCAATGTATTGGGCTAAGAATTGAAGTATCAAAATCAATGGTGATATGCAAGTCCAAGATGGAACAAGCAACTTTGTCTCCTGCAACGCAATGAGAAGGTTTTAAGTATCGGAAACGTAAGATGTATCGAAAAGATAATTTTAAGAGATGTATCGGGATACACTTTGGATATGTATGGATACGGACAAAAAATTAAGATAACGCATAAATATGCTAAAAAACTCAAATAAATCCTAAAATATATATTAATAATGATAGTTACAAGTTTTATGTGATTGTAAATAAGTTATTTAAAAGTAAAGAAAATGGGTGTGGCTTAGTGGTGGACTTCTAGTTGTTAAAGCCTAATGGCTAGGGTTAGAATCTTGCTATTGCTAAGTTTGTAGTTTTATACTAACAAAACAAATTCAATGAGAAAGAGAGTATTTCCATGTATCAGATTTGTACCAGAACGATACATGATACGGTTTGTTGCGAAATTTTGAACTTTGCTTGTCAGGGATCCCTATCTTTTGGTCAAGACCATATCTTTGATACCACAAACATTATTAATAGTTAGGGTAAAGACAATCATAATAACCTCTCCTATAGCTTCATTTTAGTAAAAACCTCCCCTCTATTTTTTACAAAATTAATAAATACCTCCATTCCGTTAATGATTAAGATGGAAAACGTTAAAGAGATGATATTTTTTTAAATACCCATTTTACCCTTTCTCGAACACTGTTCATCTTAGGCAGCGGCGATACCCCTCTAAATACTTTTGTACTAACATATAGATATGTCAGTTCAACATTCTTCTAGTTACGCGATTCATTCCACGGTCCTCACCTGAAGCCAATGGCCTATCTGCTCCACTGGAGTCGGAAAGCGGTCGAACTGAAACTATTATTTGTGTACCAACATTGATTGTCTCGCTTCCCGACTGTGTGTCATCAGCAGCTGATGATGGGTGAGTAAAGTATAGGGGAGGCTCAGCATGGTCATGAGCAGGCTGAGGCTGTGATCGAGCAAGGTCTGGAGGCTGACTATAGTCTTCTCTCATGGAACGACTAATTAGATATCCCTGAACTATGCTTTCAGCTGATGAATTTATTACAGATGGGAAGTATGCACGTGAAGCTGCTCTTTGTGCCTGAGCTCTCAGAAGCTGCTGCATTTGTAGTCGACGCTGCCTGGTCTCTGCTTCAACTGAAGTAGCAGCAGCAGCAGCACTCTGCTGTAACTCCATGGACACTTGATCGACATAACTCTGTCGTGGGCATTCATATTCTCCTCCCAGTAATCCCTCCCTGCGCAGTACCACAGTGATGAGAACTCGGAGGGGCGATGAAACAGGTGGAGAAGTAGTAATGGAAAGGGAGCCTGCTGCAGAAAAATGATGTCGATGCCACTCCATCATATGATGAGATCCATGGCCAATTCCTCTAAACACTTGCTGGATCTCAAATGTTGATATCTCCCTATCAGACCTCTGCCTCGCCGATTTGAAACGATGTCCATGGGGCCTAGGAGGGATCCTCCCGATTCCGATGCTTTTCCCGTCGTTTGGTCCTCACTGCCGGAACTGTTCCCATGTCCATAAATCGATATAACGTCCTCATCCTGGACCTCTCCTTTGCAGAGAACAAGTGGCCACAGCAAGTGACGACTGGGTCCTTCGCCACTTCCATGCATATACTGCATTCAAACAAGTGGCCAACAGAACATGGCCAACGCTGCAACTGGTTGCAGCGGCGGAAATGGGACAGAGAAAGGGAAAAAGGGGAAGAATAAGAAGCTGAAGAAGATGAGAGATTAGAGAAGAGGAAGAGATCGGATTTAGAGGAGTGCCGCCGCTGCCTTCTGCTTCTGGGTTCGAACGGTGAAAGAAGATGAACGGTTCGAGAAAGGGTAAAATAAGTATTTTGAAAAAAAATGATAATTTCTTTAACGTTTTCCGTATTGATCATTGACGAAAGGGAGGAATTTGTTAATTTTGTAAAAAATAGAGGGAAGGTTTTTGCTTAAATAAAAGTATAGAGAAGGTTTTTATGATTGGCAGAAGCTTAAGTGGAAGTTTCTTCTGTATTTTACCCTAATATTTAATACAGCTATCCGATTCTTCTGGTAAGGATGCATTGAGGGTCTGCTGCTTACCTGTTAGCAATGGATCCCCTGTAGAAATGCACCTTCAAATTCGGCTGCTAAAAAATGAACCTTCGAATGTGTAGACACAGGCCATATATTGTGTTTACATCGTGGTCTTTCTTGCATGTTGCACACCCGAGGGTATCCCCCATCTTCGTACGGGGATGATTTGGTAATTTAACCACGCTACGTAAGCTCATGTAAAACACCAACGAGTAATGGATTACGTTTCTCAATCCATTTGCAAGTTCAGTAGGTGATAAGATGAGAGAGATGAGATTAAAATGATTTGGTCATTGAAGACCACGAACAGTTTCATTTAGAAGAAGTGATTTTTTTTAAGTGGAAGGGGCGGGAAGAGTTAGAGGTAGATCAAAGAAACACATGGGTGGTAGTGAAAAATGATATATGCATTAATAATTTAATATTAGATATAGCTTTAAATAGAATGGATTGATAAAACAGGATTAATAAGGTGTCAATTGGCTGGTTGGTAAGGTTTCTTGTTGATTGTAGCCCGTTGGAGCAAAAAAGACAAAACAGGATTCATATAGTTGGGATAAGGCATGAATGATGATGAAATAAAAGCTTGCTTTGGGAAAATGTTTATTTAAAATAAAAAAATCAGTAATCTAAATTGATTTAGCTCTTAGTTATCATCATTAATCACTAAATGATATAAAAAGTTGTCCAATTTGTCTTGGTTGATTCCCAATCCGGATGAGGGATTCACTCTCCATCCCTGTCCATGTTCTTGATTGAGTACCCAATTATTCCTTGTCCTCATCGTTGTGCAGTTGTCCTTGCTAGAGCAACCCCTATCCTCATCCTTGGGGAGGTCATATATCCAATGGGTATCTCAGTTAATTAAATTAAGCTGTTAATTTTATCAAGTTAGTTTGGCTTTGTTAATTAATTTACGTTGACTAAGTTAATTTAATGGTAAATTGCTAAATTTCTCTTAAAGTTTCGTAATTGCAATCACCTCTCTTGAATTTTTTGACACAGTTGTAAGTAAATCTCCTTTGTTAAAATCCTCTAACAAGAAGCATAAAAATACCCATGCAATTATTGTTGAGGTTGGTTTCTACAGAAAAACAATACAAACTAGATGAACAACAGAAAAGAAATGAGAGTTTAAAGTTACAGTTTTATCTTTGAGTGATTGATATGAAGAGAAAATTTGGAAAATAAATATTTTGGTCAAAAGTAACATGGGTATTTTGGACATTTTTTTGTATATCTTGTTAGAAGACTTTAACAAAGGGGATGTACTTGCAACTCTGTCATAAAGTTAGAGAGAGGTGATTGCAATTATCAAATGTCAGGGGGAGGTTTTAGCAATGTACCCTTAATTTAATTGATTAAAGGGTTAATTACTTAAAATACCCCTACCCCTGAATTATCTGACAATTACGTAATGTATCCCTAGCCCTACTTAAAGTATCCCTGAAGTTTACAAAATTCATTTTTCCGTTGTCTATTTAGAGACAAATCACAACAGCAAAAAACAAATCACCTTTTGAGTCTTGAATCAGGGTTTAAGTGTGAAATGCTTAGTTCAGCTATTAAAGCCTAAAGCTGCATTCAAAGTTTGGAATATTTAAGACTTAGCATTCAGAACTTCAAAGGCCCCAAACAAATGCTTTAAGACTACCCTTGAAGGCCTGAACCCTCTGCAGTCTACGAGCAACACCTCTTCAACAAAAATAAAATGAAAACAGAATTTTTTGTATCTCGTTTGCATTGTTGTTTCTTCTTTCTGGTAGAAGATTGAAATTAGAGAAGAGACCCTCGTTTAGGCTCTGTTTCCCTTACAAATATGTAGAGTGCAAAATTTTATATTTTGTATTATTTTTTATGTATTTAAGTTGTACATATTTGTATTTGTACTATTTCTTTCTAAATTGAGCCTTAAGTTGTGTTTGGTTGCAATATAAAATGAATTTGCATTGATGCAAAACCATGGCCGTGCAAATGATTTGAGTGTAAATTTTGATTTATTTTATTTCCAATTTTAGCTTATTTTATTTGATTGCAGTATAAATGAAGTAAATTAAGATATGAAGCAGAATAAAGTAAAAGCAAAACAAAATTGAAAAAGAATTTGCATTTTTTATATTTGCACTCCTATGCATTTGTACTAATGCAAATAAATTTGCACTGCAACCAAACACAGCCTTAGGCTCAGTTTGGAAGGAGTATAAATACAAATATGTAGAGTGCAAATCCTTATATTTTGTATTATTTTGTATATATTTGTACCATGGTTTTTAAAACCGAACTAGTCAGGCATCCGATTATTGGTTCAAATGGTTTGACTGTTCAACCTGAACGATTGGCCCGTTCTGACAAAATAAATAAAAAACAGTTAAAACCGTTTGAATGGTTAATCGGTCGGTTCAGTAATTTGCTGACCAAAATCAACATTTTGGGGGGAAACGGAACCGGTCAGGTGACCGGTTCCCGGTTTTTCTGGTCTGATCGTCCGATCCGGTCCGGTTTTGAAAACCATGATTTATAGTGTATATATTTATATTTGTACTTCTTAACTGAGCCTTAGGCTGCGTTTGGAAACGATGCAAATAAGTGTGAATGCAAATATGTAGAGTGTAAAACGGTTAATGTATAAATGCAATATTGCCAAACACAGGCAAAGATAAACCAAAGTGCAAATTTACCCTGAATTGGGATTTACACTCTATTTGCATCGTTTCTAAATACCGCCTTGGGGTTTTTGGTATTTGGTTTAAGGTGTGATGGAATAGGCCGGCCAGATTCCACAATCAAATTTATACACTGTAAAGAATCTGTGAGTAATATTCAACAAATTTGCAATCCAACCGGTCCCACTATGGCAGCATGCCACTGATTGAAGATTCAAGCCCCCTGAAATTGTTAAATTTGCATTTGTAAAAGGCTCTAATCTTGTCTATGCATGAACTAGCGTCAGTTGGCTTCCAAACCCGCTTGGTAAGCCTAGGTTTTATTAAAAGAGGGCCCATGTAAGGGCAAAATTGAATTTTTAAATTTTATAACGTCTCACGTGATGTCACATGTGAATTTAATTTGACGGTCAACTAATGGAGGGGCAATATGTTATATGTGTAATATCTCCGAAACTACAGGGGTACTTTTAAATAATTAGATTGATCATATTAGGTCAATTAAGTTAAATTTAATAAATTAACCAATTAAATATTAATAAAAATTTATCTAATTTACATAATTGAATTATGTTAAACTAATTTACTTAATTGAATTATGTTAAATAAATTAGGATCATTTAGCATAATAATTAGCTTTGGATACATTGCATTTATTAAAGAAATAATTAAGAGGAGAGAGAGAGAGATTGGTAGGGGTGAGGATGGTTGGTTTGATTTGGTTAAGTACAAAAAATATGACTTATAGCGGCAGTTTTTAAGGTTTGATTTGTTTTTAGCGGCAGTCGATTAAAAGTGCCAACACCCACGACTGCCGCTAGAGAAAAGAGAAAAGGCGCGGGGTGACCTTTTCCTCCCCCGCGCATTTCCTTTCGGCACTCTCTGTTTCTCTCCTCTCCCAGTAGTCTCTCTCTCGCGCTCTTCATCTCTCACGCTCTCTCTATCTCTCTCCCGAGATCTCTATATCAGTCGAATCTCTCTCTTCCTCTTAGTTCATTTCTTCTTTATCAAATTTATTATTCATTTCTTCTTTTGTTTCGATCCGTTCTCATCCGACTTTATTACCTTATGGGTACTTGCAGAAAATTATTTTAGCGTTCTCGGGTAGATTAAGCAAATTATTTGGTAAATCTATGAGCAAGAGCAGGAATGAAAAGGTCATATCCCATGACTTTCCAGGAGGAGCAGAGGGTTTTGAGCTCTCTGCTATAATAATGGCAGAATAGAGGTAACTCCGTCTAACACCATCCTATTAAACAGTGTTGCCCATTTCATGGAAATGGCTAAAGACGTCTCGGGAACCCAAAATTTAATCGAACAAACTGAGAAATCCCTTGAAGGGATCCCCGACTGGACCTGGTCTGAGAGTCTTGTAGCTTTGAAGCAGTACCAGGATTTTCCTTTGATAGAAAACTCTTTTGGATTCCCTTGTACCAAGGCTGGCTATGTCTAGTGATACAAGCCTTCCCCTCTACGTCTTCCCCTGACAGCTCTGGTTTCTGGCTTTCCTGCGACACCAGAAGCACTGAAAGCATGAAGAATAGTTTCTCAAGGGAAACTTGGTGGTTTGAAGATTTTGTGGTTTTGCACCTCTATTTGATTGAAAAATTGATAAAGGCGATGATTGCTCAAAAGTTCAGTCATGTAATTGTAAGTAGGTTTCTCTTCTATTACCAAAAATCAAGGTTTTCAGGAGCAACATCAGATGAGAATGTAGAGAGTGTTGTGGAGATGCTCTATTCCCTTCATTGGAGTTCTGTTTCTTGCAAGAGCTTATTTGGGATTGATTCTTCGGGTGGCTTTGAGTTTTAATGTAAACAAATGTTGTCGGAACAGATTAGAAAGTATGATTGGTTCGCAGCTGGATCAAGCAACACTTGATAACCTTCTTGTACCTTCTCCTCCTGGTGTGGCTTATCTGTATGATGTGAATCTGGTTCTTAGGTTCTTGAGATCATTTCTTCGAGGAGGGGGTTGTTGGGTGTTTTCTGCTCGTTTGAAGAAGGTTGGTAGCTTGATGGACTTATACATTGCAGAAGTGGCGCCAGATTCCTGTTTGAAACCTTCGAAGTTTGTTGCATTAGCCGTAGCTCTGCCAGAATCTGCAAGAGACTCTCATGATGGAATATACCGGGCCATGGACATGTATCTCGAGGTGTGATATTACATTCTCAGAATTCCTTTCTCCAAGTATATGCAACTTTAGTGGAGTATCAAGTGTCAACTCTGTTGATTTATCTTCTGTCAATCTCAGGAACACTCAAAATTTATGATTCTTTGCCATATATTTTGATTTGTCTAGTGAGAATTAATATGGGGATGTGGGGTGATTGATTTTTCTTTTCCTTTTGGTTGATCAGATCTCTGAGAAGGGTTGGGAATGATAAAATGAGCTTGGGTTTTACTAAAAGCAGAGATGTAGACATAATTTCAAGCCATTAATTTTGTCTAACGTTTGAACTGAAATGGGACTTCTGCAGGTCCATGCTGGACTATCGGAGGAAGAGAGGATGAAGATCTGTTGTGCACTGAACTACGAGAAACTCTCATCAGAAGCTTGCAAACACCTCGCTCAAAACTCAAAATTTCCATCAAGAACAGCTGTCCAGGCCCTCATATCCCAACGTTCCAAGCTCGAAAGTTTAATCCCGGACACGAGCGTGACAGTCCGCTGATATTGACATGAGCTTGGTGTAAATGCATGGGTAGGCCTTCGAATATTTTTTTTTGATGAATGTAGGCCTTCGAATATTGGCACATGATGAGGTTCTATGCTACCTCTCTGCTACCTCTTCCCAGTTGTCCACTTGAGACTCTCTGAGACTGTGAGACTCTCGAGTGGACTTGCAATTTCCACTCTTGATTATTTTTTGTGAGCTTCATATTTTTAGTTCTCTTCGTTTAGTATTATCTAGCGATATCTTTATGACTTATTTCTTCTTGTTTGATGCGTGACAGTCCGCTGGTAACTCAAGTGCTCTTTTCCTAACTGCTGCAGCTCAAAACCTACTTTGCCTCAAGTTGGCTGAGGAACTTGGGGTGAAAATTGCAAGTCCATGGGTTTCCTGGTTCAAGGCTGCTAGCTTGCCTGCATTTGCTTCTCTTCTGGTTACTCCCTTAGTTCTGTATAAGATCTACCCCCTGGAATCAAAGATACACCAGATGCTCCTGCTATGGCTACAAAGAAACTGGAGCAGATGGGTCCTGCCACAAGGATTTCCTTGTGGGTATTTGGGTAAGTAACACTACCTTTTGTTCTTATGCTTTATTCTTTTGCGAGTGTTTTAATAACTAATCTCCTTGCAGTCTCTGGCTGGATTTGTTTGCCTAATTTATTTTGTCATAACGTTTGACAACAACCTCTCAGCATTTGGTTCATATTATTGAATTATCATTTAGCAATGCAAATCCACCTTTTTTGTTGATAGATTACGGTGGAATAACAATGCAAATCACCTATTTTGGCCTACATGTATAAATATATTAATTAAGATTATACTCATAAATTTTTTCTGTTTGTATTTGGTTCTCATGCTACTGTACTCCAGGAACAACTTTTTCCAATTAATTGCAAGATGGGAAACTTTGTCATTTGATTCAACCTTAACGTTCAAATCATAGAACTGATGTTTCTGTGGCCCTCTGTGAATAGCTGCTTCAATCTGTTTTCCTTTCCATTCTTGATGCCCATTAAATTTCAGTGTTGTTTAATTGGACAGACAACTCTTAAGTGAATGTCTCACTTTGTTGATTAAATACAAATACTGGAGTTAGGAGTAGGAACCTATCTTTAGGAGTTAGGAGTAGGAACCTATCATCAATTCAGAATAGTCAACTAAATGTTCTCCATATGCTCATAGAAAAATGTCACAATCTTTAGAGCTTTGCCTCACGGGCATTTCCCCTGCTTCTTCATTGTTTTCAGTCCATTTGAGTTTATTTTTTAATTAAGCTATTCAATGAAGTTTAAATGTAAATTGTAATTTAGACCATTTACTGTTTTAAGGTCTCTTATTTTTATGTGAATTAGTTCATGATTTTTTCATGCATGGTATCTATATAATGTAGTTAGTTCACCCTATTAGATTCTTGCCTCTGGAGTAAATGACTTTGCTTTTCACCCATCCATGCAGTGCCTGCTGTTGATTTTGTGAAAAAATGTTCATTGTTCTTTTTAATTTGAATGATGAAATTGCATCTATCAATAGAGGTTTGTTTCCAAGTTACATAATACTTGTTAAATAGTTGTATGGTTTTGCATCTTTTTATCAGTTTAGTTTCTCCAACATTACTGACATAGCATTCTTGAGCTTGTCTAGTAAATATGCATATGTCATGAGCACAGTACTGGAAAGGGGTTATTTATAGTTAAGTTTCAAAAACAAAAAGTATGGTAAAGTATTTGGTCAGGCATAAATGGACCAATGCAATTCCAACTTGGTGTAATATTGGAAAAATTGCGTGGTAGACGGCTATACACCAGACAAGGGCTGATTGTATTTCTTTTGTCTATCCTATCTGGAGATTGAGAAGTTTTCTTTTATTCATTAATGAAATTCAAGGTTAATGGTAAAAAAAGATAACTTAAAGGTGATTTCATGTTTGGTATCTTTTCTTTTGAAAGATACAAAATGAAAAATGGTCTGTTTATATTTAAATGTAGGTATCATCTTTAAGAATATTAATTCTGATAAAAAAAATCTTTAAGAATATTAATATCTATAAATACAACTACGGTTATATATTATAAAAATATATCTGAAAATAAAATATCCTTTTTTTTTAAATCTGTATTACCCATCTACCATATGTTTTTATGAAAATAAATCATAAGTTCTCCCACACTAAATTATGTCATTCAATTCATTTCTGTATTATATTATGCATATAATACAGGTGCTTATTATGTTCTTGAATTCCTTAAACACTCAATGATGATATGTGCAGGTCTTGGAATACTGATAAGGTTTGTTCTGTGTGTAGAGATGCTCTTGGTATAGCAAGTGTAGTTGCAGCAATGCTTGGGTTATCCATTCTCCCTGCTCTTGGGAGTTCTGCAATGGGATGATTGCTTAAGTGAAAAACCAGCTTGGGATACTTTAGCTTGGTTTGCGGTTCTTGTTGGCATGGCAGGTCAATTGCAAATCTTGGTAGAGTAACATGGATGTCTAGTTGTGTGGCCAAGTCCCTTCAGTCATTGTCATTGAGCTGGCCAGCTGCATTTGGTATTCTCCAGGCAGCTTATTTCTTCATCCACTACTTATTTGCAAGTCAGACTGGTCATGTAGGATCTCTGTTCTCTGCATTTCTTGCCATGCAGACTAAGCATAAAATCCATCAAATTGAAAACTTCATAATTTAATAAAACCCATCAAGACAATGGAATGGGCTACCCTCCATTGAAAACATAGAACAGAAAGAAGGGCAACGATTCTTCTTCCCTCTTTATCCATGAAAATCTCTGTAATTTTATTAGAAAGAAAAGCTTAATTTTTCATTGTTTTCAGAGATTTGGGATGCACTTCGAGAAGCTGCAGAAGCTGATTTTCCCCTTGCATAAGCAATTGTGGACAGTGTATGTGTCATTGTTACAAGTGCGGACTTGACAACCTGATATGACGAAAGAGGTGCTTTGTTTATATTGTTAGCTGTAGATTCTTATTTCTATGTGCCCTTAAGTTTTTTGGGATTTGTTTCTTACGGAGCTTCCCTTGCAGGTGCTAAAGATGAATTGCCCAAGTATGTTTTGAGTGAGCCAACCAATTTGATTCGCGACAGTTGACAACAGAGCGAAAGGCCGATCACCATGCTTCAATAAAATTGAATGTAAATCATGAAATTACTCATTCTCTTTTGGGAAGTTTGGTGGCATATAGTAAACTTGTCACAAAGACATATGGGAAGTACCTGCAGTTTAACTCGGTCAACTCTCTGTTATTGCTGGCTGATTAGGAAGAAGAAAAGGAAACAGTTAATGGTAAGAAGTTTTGGTCTTTTACCATCAACTCTGGATCTGTTACAAACAAGACATGTACATGATGAACCATGTGTTGATTTCAAGTGAAAGGGGTTCTATTTCTTCTCCTCAATGACAGTACATTTTAAGTCCAGCCATGCTGTACGAAGCAGAGTTGGGTAGTTAAGAAGTAATATAAGCAGGTCTTCATGCTCCTTGGATGGAATATCATAGATGCAGCAAGGACGACTCCATTACCACCACGAAGGACTAGAGACCCAGATTTTTTTTGTCTCTCTTACAGGGAATTTATACTGTTTATGTTGAGAAGCTATGCAGAGGTGGAAATCTATTGGATGTTGCAAGATTATTACATCATCTACGCAATAAGTAGTTATTCTTGAGTGCAAATTTATATAATGCCCTCTTGATGGCCACTGGTGAAGGGAATGATTTTGAGCTTCTGTTTTTTGTAAATGAAGTAATTTGTATTTTTAAGAATGAATGAGTGAACAGATATAATTTGTATTTTTAAGAATGAATGAATGAATGGAGAATAATTTTTTTATTTTATTTGTATTTGATGTTTTGTTTTTTTGTATTTCATTTCAATTTGGATGAATGAATATAAAACAGGTTATATGAAGCAAATTATAAGCTTATTTAATAATTAAAAATAATTACAGATTATTTAGGTAGGTGTGAAAAATATATATAGTTTTAGTGGTAGTCGGTACAGCTCTTTAGCGGCAATTGCGACTATTGCTAAAAACTATAACTAATGGCAGTTTTTAAGCTTTATCGGCAGTTGGGAAAACTGCCGCCAGAACTTTTAGCGACAATTGTTTTAGCAGCAGTTTGCCAACTGTCGGTAAAACATAACTGCCGCTAAAAGTTAATTTTCTTGTAGTTCCAAGGTCTATCCATGGAACCTGTTCTTTTCTTACTCCCCATCTTTCTTTAAAAATTTGATTTCCAATATGTAGATTATCATTATATGGTTCAAAACTTAAATTTTGTAAACACTACCTTTTACATTACTTATTGTAGACATTTAAATATTTAAATGAAAACAAATGATTAAATAACTTGAGTAACTCAATGGTCAAATGATACCATGGCCTTTGTAACCATGAGTGCTTGGGTTCAAATCTTCACATCCCCAAAAGTATTTTGGGGTTTATTTCAAGGCAAATTTGGTTCCACCAAGACCAATCAAGGTCGATTATTGAGCCTTAGGGTTTTTGGTTTTTGGTTTAAGGTGTGATGGAATAGGCCGGCCAGATTTCACAATCTTTTATCCGATTGACTAAACCAAAACCGACCCAAATTGATACAACCTGATTTGTTCGGTTTTATTAATGATTGGTTGGTTTTGGGCGATCAATTCCCCAACACGACTAGATTAATTCGATTGGCCAAACAACCTATAACCCAACCGAACTAACCCGTGAACACCCTTACCTGTAATAGATTGAGTAAGGTTTGTTTTAGGTGGAGGAGATAGTTTAGGAGAAAATTTAAGAAGTGGAGATATTTTAGGAGTGATTCAATGAGATCACGCCATTGATGAGAAAATAAAAAAAGGGAAATTGTCAAAAACTCACCATAGTTTTCAACATTTCTCTCAAACTCACCACAACTTTTCAAAATGTCTAAAACTCACTATGTCACTAACTTGACGTTAAAGAGATTAGTAGCTGTTAATATATTACCATTTTAACATTCATAGAAAAATATAAAATATATACATATATTTTAATATTTAGATATGAGAAAATACTGAGATGGTGCCTATGTGGCACCGCTAATAAACGCTTACTGAATAAACGTGAAAGGAACCAAACAACCTCTAATTGGTCGATGCACTTTCGGTATCAAACCTTTCCGGCATTATACATTTTATAAAGATTATCACTGTATTGTACTAAATGACAAAAACATCCCAACTCAGATTTTATATTGACAAAACTACCCATTTCAGTTTACACTCGATTATAGCATATTGCAGAGCGGAAGTGTGGAACCATTAGACAAATTCTTCTCCGTCTTCTTCTTTTTTTTTTCCTGTTTTTTTAAACCAGAAAGGAATATGGCTACTTCTCAGATCTGGTTCACTTTCGGAACCATAGCTCTTCTTATCATATCTGTATTTGCAGATGATGTTACCGTTCTGACTGTAAAGAACTTCGAAAAGGAGGTCGGACAAGATCGTGGCGCTCTTGTTGAGTTCTACGCGCCCTGGTATTTCTTCTTCTTAGTTTTTTCGTGAATGTAATTCATTTCTTTATTTTCCATGAGTATCTCGGCCCATTCTGTGATATATGCCGATTTGGTCCTCTGATTATTGAAGAATTCGTAGTGATTTGTTGCAATATGGCAATTTTGATCATGTTCGATGGAGATCTTTAGGGGTTTCATTATAATACGTGGAGAATGCTACACGATCTACAGTCTAGTTAAAATTATTAGTTTTGAATTGAATAAGTGTATTCTTTTTTTTATATGCGTTTAAAATGCTTCGTGATTTGTCATTTTTATGGTTTTCGACGGAGCTATTTCATTATAAAACTTAACTTTTTTTTTTTGATAACTAAATTATAAAACTTGAGGAGTTCAAATATATACATTGTACAATTATAGGTGAAATTATAGTTCCTTTTCTCCTCCTCTAGTTCCTGCAGCATTGTACTTTCTTCTGTATAGAAATGTCAGTGTTCTTTAAAATCTGAACTTGTGCTTATTTTGTAGATCGTATTTTTACACACTCGGACGTTTTTTCGGTGTTTACCACTTCCGTTTCTTAAGTTAAGATTGAATAAGTAATGCTCTTGTGGATTAGTGCCAAGAAACTCTTGGGAAGTGGTGGAGACCAGCTCCTGCTCTACCTCCTAAAGAAGATACTTGGGTCTACCAAATCATGCTCCAGTTTCCACCAACTTTTCTGTGGGCAGCAAGCCGGCAACCTGCAATTCAGAGAGGGTTCTACTATCCACTTCTACTGCCTCAAAGAGCACTTTTAAACTCTAGCTGCATAAGTTTGATAGCTTAGACATTGTTAAGCATGCTCGGAAATGTAGAATGCCATTTGTTGAGTATTAAAAAAAATGGAAGAAAAAGCATGCAATTTGGTTGCCATATCTCAGCTTCTTGTCTTTGTCCTGCTGTTTTTCTTTTTTTTTTTTTTGTATCATCATTTTATGGGACAAGAATTTTGATGTTATTTCTCCTGACAGGTGTGGTCACTGTAAAAAGCTTGCTCCAGAGTATGAGAAGCTTGGTACTAGTTTTAAGAAGGCCAAGACTGTTCTGATTGGAAAGGTCAGATTTCTGCATTTGATATTTGAATTATTATATTTATACTTTTGTAACCATAGAGTTTTAGTACAAAAAGAATATTGTTCAGTTATAATGTTTTTCTCACTTCCAATAGTTCGGTTGTTTCTTTTTTCCTTTTACTATTCTAAATATTATTGTTATCAGTGTTTCAAAGCAATGAGGTGTGGTACAAGGTGTTTCCTATCCTAAGACATGAGGTGTAAACCAGAACATTGAGGATGGGTTCTTTTAATTAATTGTCATCATCTAAGCTTTGCCCCAACTATATGGGTTTTTAATTAATAATTAATTAAAATAAAATATAATAAACAGAAAAAAAAATAATCTCCAAAAAAAGAGAGAAATCAGGAAAAATTAAAAAGAAAGTCATATAGGCAATTTGTAGTAGCAAAATGTTGCATTCAAATATGGAACTGATAACCAAATCATGGATTCCATCCAAAAACTTTAATGACAGTAGTCTAGTTTTCAAGTTATAAATTGCAACTATTAAATCATATAAGCAAATAACAAAAGATAATATCATTCCTTTAAGGTTTATTAAAAGCATTAGAGACATCATCATCATCCGAGCCTTATCCCAAGTTCCAACTATATTGAGTCAGCTACATGAATCCTATTTCACCATTTCGTTCTATTTAATGCCAAATCCATTGTTAAATTATGAGCAGTCTACCCCTAGTCCTTCTAGCCTCTTCAACTTGCAATAGATTGCTTCTTCTTATGGGTGCTGTCAATGGTCTTCTATGCACATGACCAAACCATCCATACTACTTTATCTCATTTTATCACCTATTAGAGCTACTCCTGGGTTCCTTTGAATGACTTCATTTCTGACCCTATGCTTTCTAGTCTTTCCACATATCCATCTCATTCTTTTTTTTTTTTTTTTTTTTTGAGAAAGGCAAAGTATAGTATTATGTATTGATATCAAAAGTAAGGCCCTCTGTACAATGAGAAACTGTCCAAAAAATGGATTTTTTGGACATGTTTCTTGACTGCCCAACACCCTGCTCCATATAGCATACCTGGCCTTACAACTATTTTATAAAATTTTCCTTTTAATCAGTACACAATATTAGGAAAATGCAAAACATAAAATGAAGTATGAAAAAAATAAAGCACTGAAGTAATCAAAGCAATGAGGGATGAGAGGGACAGTCCTTTTCTCTCTCTCTCTCTCTCTTTTTTTTTTTTTTTGATAAAAACAGTCCTTTTCTCTGTTGATGAAGAAGAAGCCTTGTAGCCCATATCTGCATACCTGTAATAGTTGTTCCTCCATGTTTTTAAGGTCTCCAAGAAGAAGCTGCTTTCACTTTATTGTATTTTCCATATAAAAAATACTTGTTGGGACACCATGGTGCGATGCATCGCACATAATATGCAAAAGAAGCCAAAACCACATACAATGTGTATTCCCTTGTACATGCTGCCATACAAGAGGCATGTGCTCCATGCACGTCTACGCTTATTATATGCACCCTAGGGCATCTTGTTACCTCAGTTGCACAACTCCTATGCTTTTTAAAATATTGATTTATATATATATATATATATATATATTTTTTTTGAAGGAGGTCTTTCTTTATTGTTATCAATAGTTATTCTAAAATAGTATCATTTTCTGATATTGAGGCTCCTTATGCCCCCTTGTATGTTTTAACTTTTAACATCTGTTTGTTGATTCTTGAATCTTGGTGTAGGTTGACTGTGATGAACATAAGAGTCTATGCAGCAAATATGGGGTATCTGGATACCCTACAATACAGTGGTTTCCAAAAGGGTCCTTGGAACCCAAAAAGTGAGAGAACTGCTTTTACCTTCATATATATATATATACATATATATATGTATATATGTATATATATGTATATATGTATATTTATGTATGTATTTATGTATGTATTTATGTATGTATGTATGTATGTATATCCTATACTATAATTTTACTTTTAACAAAGTATCTTTTTATTTTCTGTTGCAAGTCTCCATTATCCCTTTGGGTTCACAGAAGTTGAAGTGTGTGATGTGTTTAGGTATGAAGGACCACGTACAGCAGAATCTCTTGCTGAGTTTGTGAATACTGAAGGAGGTAAGACACAGAAAATTATTATTATCTAATTATTGTCTTGGTGGCTAGATTTCATCAGGAGTATTACTTTCTTGTGTACTGGAAACTTTGATTGGTAGGTTCCATGCTTATCTGTGATTTGTGCAGGGACCAATGTCAAGATAACTACTGTACCATCCAATGTAGTGGTTCTAACACCAGATAATTTTAATGAGGTCGTCTTGGATGAAACTAAAGATGTTCTGGTTGAGTTCTATGCCCCATGGTAATCATGCCTGTTGAACAGTTTTAAACTGGTTGCCTTGAAGAATAGGGTTTGTCTTTTATTGCTTGCTTTTTAACATTTTCATGTTTTGGTGACCAAGACACTGAAACAATGTGGTTGTATGGGTGTGGTTTGTTTGTGCAAGCACCTTTATCATAGATACACCCTATAATTTAGAAATTATTTAATCAACATCAAATTCAAGGTTAATTCATCAAAATGTAGCAACAAGATAGGAGAGGCACGCCTAGGTTTAGCTATTCAGGCAAGGTGCACTTACAAAATTAAGTCTCACCTGTGGTCAAGGCACACCTTTTTAAAACACTGGCATTAACATACCCTGCTTATTTAGAGATTGCTTATTTAACAATTAGGGGTTTGTTCAGAGTTTCTTTTCACCATGCAAATGCATGCATTAAAAGACAATTACAAATTACACTCATGTTCTGAACTGATTTTTGGGCAAGTTCATCTTTATCATGGGACCCATTAAATGGTCGCAGGAGACCATTTTATTGATCCTGCATATGTTAGAGTTTTTTAGTTTTTCTTTTTTTTTGGAAAAATGACTCTGAATTAAGTAAATGTGTTGTACTTAAGGTTCAAAATATCACAATGTATCAGTGCATATCATTCAATACATCGAATTTTCAGTGTCACTGATATGTTGCTTTTTAAGAGTTAGCTAATTTCAATGGTTAAAGAATAAAAAATAAAATAGTTTCTATAGATAGCACCTCTTGATATGCTTTTTTTTTTGTATCAAGAGTTTTGCTACTTTGAACCTTGGTTATACTATCATTATCTCCATGCAAATAACATTTATCCATGTATCTAAAATAGTTGATCCAGGTTCTGGAATACTGCTGTGTCCTACATGTATTCCACATGGCTAACTACTTGCTGCAAACAGTGAAAATATTTCAAATCAACCATTTGAGATGCATGGTGAATGTTTATCATAAGTTATACTTGGCATTACTATTCCTTATATAATCATTTGACCAGGCAGGATTCAGATAGTGATGACGTGGAATAAAATATGGACACATTTTTTGCATATCACACAATTCAAATGGCCAAAACTCCCTTATTAAAAAAAAAAAAAAAACCAGCCTGAGGCTTCAAAGATAGACATGCTTGGACTTCTAAATTTCTAATATTTAAACATAAAGAATCTTCTAATTCTCTGTATTTGGTGTTGTGGTGGTTCAAAAACCAATACATATCATATGATACACACCAATAGGTTGCAATAGTGCGAACCTGAAGTGATGTCAATTCCTTTATCTTTTTTTCAGGGACATGGCTTTAGTTCCCAGTGGAAGTAACTCATTTTCTATTTGCAGATTATATTACATTATCCATCAATTTTTATATTTTATGAACTACGCTATCTTTTTTGCTTTGCAGGTGTGGCCACTGCAAACATCTTGCTCCTGTAAGTATAATACAAAAATAGAACTTCGGTAATCTTATTAGCACTTGATTAATTGACCATAAAACTTAAAAATGCTGTATGAAAACATACTTTGAACTCCGATTATTGTCTTCTCCTGTTTTGTAGACTTATGAAAAGGTTGCAACAGCATATAAACTTGAGGAAGATGTAGTAATTGCTAATCTGGATGCTGATAAATACAAAGATTTGGCTGAAAAGTAAGTCCTAGACATAGCCCATCTCTTTTGCGACTAGAAGAATGATGTCGATAATAATTTTCAGACAATCAGCAGAAGATTTAAGAATAAGCATTTTGAACTGATCTGGTTCCTTATTGCATTTGAAGAGGGTTTCATGGATGGATATTTAATCTAAAATAATGAAAATATTTCTGATCATGCTTGACCTTTATTTTTCTTTCCCATTGTAATGGGCGGAATGGTCACTGGAATGATGCCTAAATTTTCGGTTTCTTCAATTCAATACTAAAATGTGTTATTTAATGTTTGATTTGATAAAACAATTGAATGGTATAAAAATAATACTGAGGACAATGGCATTGTGGTGCCTATATTTAAGAGCAAAGGCGATATGCAAAGTTGTAATAGTTATTGTGGGATTAAACTCATGAACTACACTCTGAAGCTTTGGGAGAGAACAGTTGAGCAAATGTTATGACAAGAAATAGGTATGTCAAAGAACTAAGTTCGGTTTATGCCAAGGAGATCAACCATGGATGCTATTTTTCTTTCGAGACAATTGAAAGAAGGGTTTTTTTTATCAATAACAGAAAGCTTTATTAATGAATAATATTTGTGAAACTTTAATTACAGAAAAGGGGGCAATTGAAAGAAGGGTTTAAAGACAAGAAGAGAGATCTTTGTATGGTATTCATTGATCTAGAGAAAGCATACAATAGAGTCCCTAGAGAGATAATATGGTGTCTTGGAAACCTCCTAGGAGTGCCAAATAGGTATGTGAACCTAATTAGGGATATTATGTATGAGGGTGCAGCAACCAATGTTAAAACACCTGTGGGAGAGATATTAGATTTTATAGTTAGTGGCTCTTCACCTGTTCAGCACTTAGCCCTTATTTGATTGCACTGGTCATAGATAAATTGACTAAACATATTCAGGAGGAGGTCTAATGGTACTTATTATTTGCTGATGACATTGTTTTAATTGATGAAACTAATGAAGGATTAAATGCAAAATTAAGTTTATGGACAAATACCTTAGAACCTAGAGGCTTTAAAATATGGAGTAAAATAAAATATATGCAATGTAAGTTTAATAATAATAGGAGTGCAAATTAGGGTACACTTAGGATTGGAGACCAAGAAATAACTCAATGTCACCTTTTTTCTGGTACCTTGGTTCAATAATTCATAACAAGGGAAACATTGAGGAGGATGTTGCCCATAGAATTAGCAAAATGGGCAAAATATAGGGGTCCATCTGGAGTCTTATGTGATAGGTGAATACCACTTGAATTAAAAGAAAATTTCCATAAAACAATTATAAGGCCAGCAATGTTGTATGGAGCAAAGCGTTGGGCCTTCAAGAAATAACACGTACAAATAATGAGTGTGGTAGAAATGTGTATTCTGAGATGGATAAGTGGAAGAACTAGAAAGGATGGGGTTAAAAATGAAGTCATCCAAAGGAACCTGGGAGTAGCTTGAATAGGTGACAAAATGAGAAAAAATAGACTTAGATGGTATAGTCACATGCATAAAAGACCACCTACAGCATCTGTAAGAAGAAACAATTAGTTACAAGTTGAAGGGGACTAAGGGGCTAGAAGGACTAGGGACAGACCAAAAAGGACATGGGTTGAAGTAGCAAGCAATTATTTAAGTGATCATAATTTAACAATGGATAATGACATTAAACAGAACAAAATGGCGAAACAGGATTCATGTAGAAGGAATCAATGCTGATTAGTGATGACAGCTGTAATTTACCAGCATTATTTGGTAGCTTAGACTATTGCAATGGTGTACAATTTCAGAAATCATGCCTTGAATACTGTTAAATTTAGGATAAACAAAAGGCAACCAGTATGGCCACAAGTCCTATCATTATACCCCTTACTGGTTACTGCTGAAATTAAGGATTTCATCAAGTTGATGTGGCAGTTAAGGAGAAGCCTCAGTTTTCTTTCAATAGACATAAGATAATACAGCTTTTTCCTGGAATACTTTATGAAACCCATATTTGGTAGTCGCACTTTTGTTAAAAGGGGAAAAAAGAAAAAATGTGGGAAACAAAGAACTAACCTGTCTCGAGATGGTTACACATAAATATTCTTCTAGCTAATTATAAAGATAATAAGCAATTTTGCATAATTTCTATATAATATTTGTTCTATAAGTTGACCTTAATAACTATAAATATAACTTCTTGCACCAGTGAAATGATATAAGATGTATGCAGGAATTATTGTTTAAGCATAAAGCTTTTGCAATCATTTGTCTTGGTATGGTCAAGTTCTAGCCATGGTTAACCTCTAACATCCTGATTTCTTTTTGTTGGACCTTTCTAATCCAATAACATCCTGATTCTTTCCAAACTGAAGGCAAATCGAGGAATTGTTTTCTGGGTAAATGGTTCCAGGAAAAATAACAAAGATATTAGAGAGTTCTAAAGACTCCAGCACAAGTCTGATTCGTAGTTGTCAAGGCGACGCCTAGGTGACAAGGCGTCCTTGGAGGCTTGCCTCACCCAATTGCCAAGTAGTTTTGTGCACTATGTTATAAAATACTTTTATATTTTTAATTTTTTGACATTATAATTATAAAATAGACATTATTAAACTAGAATACTCATTTTATGTGTTTATGTACTAATTTATTTTTATTATTTTCTTATTTGTTAGGGCTTAATCAACACAAACATTGCTAACTGTTGTATTGAATCCATGGTTCAAAGTATCGATTGTGTATTGGAAGAGGTGTATCAGTACATGTAATGATACTCCCCCTATTTTTTTATTTATTTGGTTTTCAATTTCATTTTTAAATATATATATATATTATTTTAAAAAATGGGTTCTCGAAAACACCTGTAAACATGTGTATTGGGGCGCCAAAGATGCAAACAATACAATACACCCGATACGGGGTGTATCATATCGAAGTTTTGATCCTTGATTGAATCCTCAAAGATTTCAGAACCTGAACCAATAAGCAAGGGAAGAACTTAAAATTTTGTCTAATCAACACATTTACTTCTTACAGATCTTCTTCTTCCACCTTTTCTTTTCTTCTTTTCCTATAACAAAAGTAGGGGTTCAGCTCCTATATTTTTTTAATTTTCTTTCCTTTGTTCCTTTTCTTGTCATAAAATGTTGATTTTCTAAACTTAAAACATGAAATTTATACTTCTCTTATGAAAATTATGGATAGTTATTAAGGAAAGATGGTTATGGAACCTAGGGAACTACCACAGGATATATGGTTTTACTTAAAAAAATCCATTGCCTAGGCGACAAGGCACCCCCCTGTCGCCTAGCCTCACCTTGGCACCTTAAAAGGTATGGTCTGATTTCCATATTTAGATTTTTGCACTATCTGGTTAAGTAGTTATCAAAAGAGGTGCATCAGTAAATTTTGCAGTAGCCAGTACTGCCAAGGGGGTCCTGATACATCAATGCTATCTATGCAGATATGGTGTTAGTGGCTATCCTACATTGAAATTCTTCCCAAAAAGTAACAAAGCCGGTGAAGACTATGATGGTGGCCGAGAGTTGGATGATTTTGTGACTTTCATCAATGAAAAGTGTGGCACTAGTCGTGATGGAAAAGGACAACTAACATCCAAAGTTAGTAGTAGATTAACTCAAAGAATAACAAGTACATGATTGTTTCTTTTTTTGTGAACATGTGATAATTTGTTTGATATAGGCTGGTATAGTTCCAAGTTTGGATGCCTTGGTGAAGGAGTTTGTAAGTGCTGACAGTGATGAGAAGAAGAAAGTCTTTTCTCAGATGGAAGAGGAGGTTGAGAAGCTCAAGGGTTCACGTGCAAGGTAATCCTGTAATTCAAATCTCTTGCATCTGATGCTTAATATTTCATCATTTCAGTGAATATAGCTGATAACTGAGATTCCATAACGTTGTGGTTAAAGGAATTGCAATTTTGACTTTCAGTGGATGTAGATATTAAACAAGAACGTCATAATCTTCTTGCTTTTTCAGGTATGGTAAGATCTACTTGAAAGCTGCCAAGAACTGCATGGAGAAGAATCCAGATTATGCCAAGAACGAGGTGGAGCGACTACAACGCATGCTTGACAAGGTAAAGTGCTAATCTATGACATTACAGGTCAGGGGGAGGGGCATACATAATTACATATTGCTACCTTATAGTGTGAATAAAACCTGGTCTGAATTAACTTAATTGATCCTGATATTTATTCATTTTTGGCTTCTCTTTGGTGCAGTCAATTAGCCCAGCCAAGGTAGACGAGTTCACACTCAAGAAAAACATCCTATCTACGTTTGCTTCATCTTCCAGAGGAGTCGAACATTAATTGACATGTCTTAACTATCTCTGGGTATCCATTACCCCGTTTTCACCCTTGTTTCAAGCCTGGGGGAGTACTGTCCTGGTATCAACCTTGGGAATTTTCTTGTGATGCAGAATCCACATGCAGGTTTCACTTTCTAAAACAATTCAACGAAAGAAAAATCAGTCCGTGGGTTGCACTTTCAGCGTGTGAACATGTGTGAAATTGCTCATGCGACCCTCTAATTCTTTTTCTTTGACAATAATAGAACATGATCCCTCTCTCTTCTCTCTCTGTCACACACACACACACGTTATATTAATGGTGGACTCGATTTGAATGAAAATGAGGATACCTGTTCTCGTTATTCTTCTGATGATAGATGTGGAGTGATGTACAGGAAGGGTGTTCTGACAAAAACCAAGAATAACACCCTTCAAAAACCAAGAATAAACGTGTACATAACTCCAACTGGAATAAGAAGATACCTTGAAAACGGGAATATTTAAACTAATATTCCCGTTGGTCTACTCTAGTTAACCTTCAACGCAGCACCCATTGGTGGGTCCTGATCATCCTAACAAAGGAAATAGCGGCGTAAATGGCATCTGAAAATCGGAGTTTGCATTTTTTTATTCGATTCAATAAATGTCCAAACTAACAAAATAATTTTTTTTATTATTTAACAAATAAAATTCGAATAGTCGGATACTGAATCAAACTCAAATTTCGAATACTCCAATTGAATTTAAAATCAAGTCTTGCTTGATTGGATTCAAATTCAAATTCCAAGGAAAGGTGACGAGTTATAATAGACCCCAGACCTGAATAAGTTCCCTATGCCTAGACCCAAGTTTTTGCCTTGATCCGAAACATATACTTGAAGACGATCAAAAGAATTTTGTAAAGGGAACCTTCCAGCAGATGTGTAGTATTCCTGATCTCAAATGTAAAGTCGTGGGAAAAGCTTGTAATTTGGCACAAATCTATCAGACCCCCTTTCTATATGCAACCATTTGGGTGCTAGGATTTTCATTTTTCAAACCATAGTAAGCGTAAAACTCATCTACCAGTTTTTCGGTATGATTGACTTTGTTTGGGCAAGCGAGATTGTATGAATAATTTTCTACTATTATGCATTTTCTCTTGAGCACATCTTGCGGCCTTTCCTTTAAAAAAAAAAAATAATAATAATAATAAAACTTAAAGAGAGATTGAAATTTCACCGAGAGAAGGTGATCAAGAGAGATTCACCCTTCACCAGCACGGTTAACTTGAGGTAATAAATAATAGGAGTAAGTGTAATGAAAAAATTGAAGCAATGGTTCACATGTAGATGTAGATGTACAACACCAATTTGCTTCATCAGTGATCAGAATGCCACCCAGAAGGAGAAACTAACCCCCTAGAACAGAGGCACACTGGTTTCGAGAGTTGAGACTACCTTAGAATTAGCTAAATTTGGAAATTCTACTCGGAATAGAACCGCCCAGGGCAAGACGATGGTGGTTAGTCTGTTTCGTACAACTTAGACATTGAAAACAACATTCATTCAGTGGACAGATATGTCAAGCTCATCCATATTCATCACTAGTTCCCTACCATTCTGCAAAACAACGCTGAACGCTCGGGGTAAACATTGCTCCATTACTTGAAATGTTCACAAGCTTTAGCGTCCACACCTAGAGCAGATCTCCTAGATGACATCAAAGCCGCTCTTCCTATCCCATTTTCTCCTAGGACTTGGACATCCTCTTCAGATACCTCTCCTTTCACGTTCATGTTCAAAACTCTACAAGACTTTTCTCGGCCAATTTCAGGCTCTGATATGTCTATTGAAGAACACTCCTCAATGAATAGATTCGGAACCTCTCGTGGGTTCTGATATTCTCCCTCGTCGACAAAAGACTTCAAACATGAGAAGGGTCGCTCTTCACCTTCTATATTTTGCATGGGTTCTTGCCCTTGACTGAATGGCAACTCGTAGGCCGGTGGCCCTGGTGGCTGGGCTCTCATCTGCACAGACCTCAGGAGTGCAGCCCTCCTTAAGTCTGCTGAGTGGCATATATCACTGGGCGATGATGGAAACCGACCCTCAGAGTCTGAACCACGATTTCGAGGCTGAGAGCATGCAATTGTACTGAGAGCGCATCCAAGTGAGTATGAAGTGGTGGGCGTTGCAGGAGTGAAGGCACCGAGTGATCTTTGATATCTATGAGGAGACACTGGACTGGTCGGCAGGCTGTCAGGTTGGGACATATACGCGCTTAGGGGGGTGTCACAGTATCGGGACTCCTCCGAGTCTTCTGACATTGGTGAATATTGCAAAGAGATTTCATCCCTAAAATTACAAAAAGGAATACAAAGCAAAATAATCAGTTCTAAGTAGGATGAGCCCAAGTTATGGTCAATTTGATAAGACTATGAATGTAAACGAGCTAAAGCCAACTTGCGAGACATGCAAGAGTGGGCTGGGAATCTGGGTGGGTTCAGCATATACGTGCTTTTGTGTGCTATATTTATCTAATGCCTTGCCTATAATAAAGAAAATATCATATTGTGGTATTTGAATGGGGTCATTACCTGGTGAAATGGGTTCAAATCCTAAAGTGGCCACTTCATGCAAGAAAAATAATTAGGTCCGTATCCAGTCCACATCTCTGTATTTGGAGTGCAAGCCCCAATAAAATACAGACATGCCAGTGGTTAAATACAAGAGCCAGATTATTTGATATTTTGAATTTAAAATAATTGCTGGCATGTCAATGTTTAATTGGGGGTTACAAGGTAAGTATTGCGAGCAGAAGTGTTCTCCTGTATTTGATTTGGCTTCAATGTTATCAAAGTGTTTTGATAAAAAAATGACGAAGTGAGCTGACACCAAGGTTAGCAAAAACAAGCCTGAGCGGAGCTTGGCAAAGCTCAACCTAGCCGAGTTGTTTGAAACCATAAACAAATAACACATATGGGATCAGGATCAGGACCAGATTCCGTACATTTATTCAAGTAATATCTTTATGTTATTAGAATCAAAACCATTAGTGGAAAACTGGTCAGGTGACTGGTTCCATTTTTACCCCAAAACCATTATTTTGCCAAAAAACCATTGATTTGGTCAGCAAACTGCTGACCCGGGTGGTCGAACTGTTCAATGGTTTGGCCATTTTTTGTCAGAACGGGCCATCCATTTGGTTTGAATGGTCAGACCATTCAACCCAGGAACCAGACCCCTGACCGGTTCGTTGTCCAGTTTGGTTTTAAAAACCTTGGGAAGTCTTAGAGCGGCCACTTTGTGCAAATGGAAAACAAAGGACCAAAGCTTAGGTCCTGTCAAAGATGCTCATCCCAATAAAACTTGGACAGTACAAAATAGAGCTAATGGAAAAAGAAGCAAGACTATGTCTTCAATTAACAGAACAAAGCTCCACTTAACCTAAGTTGTTTACCACAAACAAATCTACATGATGCAAAGGAGAGATGAGGCAAAGTTGATGCAGGACTCACAACTCTGATCAAATTGATGTAGGAATAGAATAATTCAAGGATGAATCTAGGATGGCTAAGAGGAAGACTTTAGGACTTAAGTGAAGGGTTACAAGGGATAGAAATGTTCTAAGTCAAATTGGTGAGGGATGCAAATTCTGTTAGATGGTGGAAAGTAGAAAATAAAAAACAAAGGATAGAGAGAAATTTTAATGAAACTTTGTAAATATATTTACAATGGTTGATGATATGGGAAATTTTGAAAGCATTTCAAGATGGTTTTCCACAAAAAGAAGAAAATTTCCATTCAAAGAAATTTAGTAGGATGCAGAGCACAATAGGATAAAAAATAGCTAAAAAAAAGTACCTAGGTCCATTTCAATCTTGTAGAGAAGCTAAATGAACTCTCTTGATGATAATTTTGTGGGCTATGGCTAGCTACAATAACTTCTTGCAGAATTGGAGAGAAAACATAGGATCACTTAATGGGTGGCCTAGAATCATTCATGGTTCTTAGCATAAGTTATAAGAAATCAAATCAACTCAATTCATTCATTCCTCCATGTTTTTGCACATCGCGCATGTACATAGACACCATTGGAGTAGCAAATCTTACTAGAACTAAGAAAAACAAAAATTACAGAATTACTACCATCATAAGAAAACTCAATTAACTCCTAAGTCCTAAACTACTCAACCAACTAAACTTTCTTTTTGGCAGAATCCATTCATCATCATCATCATCCAAGCCTTATCCCAACTATATGAGGTTGGCTACATGAATCCTATTTCGCTAGTCTGTTCTGTTTGGCTTCTTTATCCGATCCCATCCAGAAAGGATGTAGGAACCCTTGCCTATTTAACACCACAACTGGGCATTGTTGTGGCGGGTCACTTATGACTTATGAGGACCATCATTCAAAGGATTATTACAAATGTCTTCCAAAATAATAGAAATTCAATCAGGCTTATTCCCAAACCAGGTATGGCTTAGCTGCAAATTCAACAGCTAATCTGGCCAACCTATGAGACACGCTATTATTTTTACCTTTAGTGTAAACTTCACTAATGTTGAGGAAAGTTGAAAGCCAAACCGTGCAACATAGCCAACTAGACTAAGACTAGACACATCAAGCTCTTAGGCTGGAAACCCAACACCCCC